ACCCATTGCCGAGATTCCCTCCAGAAACTCAGCAGAGATCTCGTGGTGATTTAGGAACACTAAATCAGAACCGACATGGGGGAAAGAAAATACGCACAAAGGTGAAAATCCAGCAGGAATGTTCTATTTCGGGCATACCGGAACTGAAAGACTTTCTGTCTTTATTTACAGGGGGAGGATTCCAATGGATCTTCATGTTGTTCCGCATGCGGCTATTGAAATATTTCTTATTTCTGGCAGATAAACCTACATACATATGTATGTACATACATATGTTAGCTTTATTTTACAGAAGCCTATGTACATATGTATGTAATATGTAATAAAAATAAAGCTAACACTTTTAAAACATATGCCAAAACAGACTAATAAAAGATAAGATTAAATTATTATAATTCAAAAAGAAATGAGTGACTATGAAGCTTTATTTTACAGAAGTCTTTATGTATGTACATAGTAAGTAAACTAAAGACTTCTGTAAGATACATAGACTTCTGTAAAATAAAGCTAACACTTTAAAAACCTATGCAAAAAAAGACTAACAAAAGAAAAGATTGAATTATTATAATTCAAAAACAAATGAGTAATTATGAAGCCAACAGGAGTAAACATTCTAAACATGAAGTTCCCAGAAAATTATGAAAACCAGAAGCACCTTTGTCACAATCATTTTGGGCACTATGGAAGCAAACAATAATTTCTGTGGGACTTGATTATAATCCCGGGACCAATAGCACCACCCCAGAGTATTATGTTTCACTCCCGACTTCAGTTCCCATCAGAGTCAAAGGCATTTTGGCGAAGGGCAAAGGGCTGGGCCCGTTGATCTTTACCGATTTCCTGCCGATCGCACGTAATTGGGTGTCCCGCTAAAAAAGTCATAATCACCTGTCCATCCTTTATCACGGCAAACCCGTACAGACACCTTTGGGAAACCGACGCGACGCAACGCGACGCGACTCTAAAGCCCAAAAGTTTAAAACTCCGTAAAGCAATTTTTATGCACCAAGAACCAAGTGCATTCGGACCTGGGAGCCGAGAAAAACACAACAACAGAACCAAACAGAAGAGAACTGAACAGAACAGAACAGAGCCGAAAGGAAAAGAAAGACCAAAGACAAATTCCTGCGTTTTTCCAGGAATTCACTCAATAAACTCAAACAAAACCCAAACATTTAACAAACGAGCCTCAGCCCCAGCCACATCCACATCCCACATCCCAGCCAAACAGCACGAACAAAAAACCAAGACCAAAACCAAAACCAAAACTAAAACCAAGGCGATCCCAGCCAGACGACGTCGAAGATGCTGACCAAGACGGAAGACGGCGAAGATGGGGAGGGGGAGGGGGATTGGGGATGGGGATGAGGAGATGGGGAACGTGGACGACGAAGCGCTGAGCAAAACACAAAATAAACCAAAAAGCAGGCAAGGAATTTCAAACAAGAACAAGAACAGCATGGTGTTGTCGCACTCCACGAACTTGGAGCTGTGAATGTGAAGCGGTCATAGACCAGAGTGGATACAGTGGATCAGGTTATCAGACTAGGAAATACCCTGTAGACTCTGGAACTGAAATAGACCGAAGTAAAGTAAAGAAATGCAAAGTCACTGTAAAGAGATTTGGGTATTTACTATGTAAGACGAAAAATTTGAATTTTATAATCTTAAAATATTTATATTCACGTATTTCGACCAATTAAATTTCTGTACTTTTACTAAATGCATTTAAATATTGATAAAATATTATATATTTTAATTCGGTGATAGGGTGAATTAAAATAATATCTACACAAAAACTTGTAGGAAATGAAAGGGGTCTTTGGTTTAAATCTAAATAATAATAAGCAACTAATCATGTGATATCGAATTAAACTTCCCTAATGGAAACATATCACTTTTGGACGCTCCTTTACTATCCGGTAACTGGGACATTAAGTTCCTAGCTACTTAATGAACCCTGCTTTTGTGGAGTCCGAAACATCCTGGAACTGTGGTGTCAGTTTGTGGTGCAGTGCCGAAAAGGAGACAGGAGCAGAAGTAGAATCAGGAGTTGGGGAGGCGGTTCTGGCCATTCTAGTGGGCGAGCAGACGCAGGATGGCGGATCCCATGGCCGTCTGGCTGCATTCCAAGTCACACAGAGCCAAACAGAGGCCAAACAGGGCCAACAGAACCGAACCCGAACCCGAAGAGCAGAAAGAAGTGGCAGTGGAGGAGCCAAACCTAATCCGACGACGACGACTCTCCAACTCCGATGAGATGAGGAGTTGTCGTGCCAGGAGAAACAGGAGAAGCTGCCAGCAGCACAAGACTCAGCTCCTATGCACTGATAGAAAATGTTACCAAAAACTGCATTATTGTTTACTTGAAAAATAAATTATAAGCTATTCCAAACTACTATTTTCCAAATAAAACAAGTTAAAGGGAATTTTGGGCTTATTTGGTCTAATTAGGTTTCAAATCATATGGAGTTTGTTCTGGTTATTTATCTATACTTATGTATGTATATTTCATACTAATGAAAAATTGAACTTAAAAACAAAAAACTTTAGTTTTTTGATTTTTAAAACCTTTATTTGCAAGTCTTCAAACTCTTTTCGTTAAATTTATATAAATATATGTAATTATTTTGCTTTCCACAATTTTTATAAGCATTAATAGTGCTTAGAAAAATATTTTCCCTCAGTGTAATGGCGCTGGCGCTGCTGGTGCGGTACTTTTGCTGCTGCTGCTTCTAAAAACTCCTTTAAAAATTATTTATTAACATGGTAGAAATTCGCAAACAGGTTAAAACGACCAATCAAAGCGGCAAGAACAACAACAATAACAACAACAGCAGCAGCAGCAGCAACAACAACAAAAGCGGCGGCAGCCAAAGACCCAAAGTGCAGATAATATTAAAAGGCAGTCAGGCAGCCAGCCGGAGTTGCACGAGGACCGAGGGATGGGGGGACATGGGGGATCTGGAGGGGATCGGGGACGGGGGGCGTCTGGGGGGGCGGAGGAGCTTTGGCCCCGACTACCAAGCCAGACACATTTCGAAAAGGGCCAACACGAAATTCCAGGGGAGTCGTTGACTCGCCTTCGGTTGGTTACTTTTCTTGGGAAAGTTTTTGTTGAAAGTTGGACAGTAACTGAATTTTGCCGTTTTTGTTATTTTTTTTTAGTTCGCTTTTCTGCAACCGCCAGAGAGCCAAGTTGGGTTGCGGCGATAAGGTGGCATAGAGCAGGGCAAGCAAGCTTTGTAGGTGGTAATCAATGGAGTTGCACCTCCAGAAAGGTCTTCAAAGAGGCTCGGGAAATTCCAAAATGCTTTGCAGAATTTGCATTATTTGGAAAGGTTTTTTATACATTTAAGATTGCACTTTAATTAGGGCAGTACTTCGTCAAGTCAAACTAGCAACACTTTTATAAGGAAAAACTGACCCTAAACAATTTCAAGTAAAAAGCCTTAATAAACCTCTTTTTTCAAAAGATCCATTTTCTCTTTGAAGTACTTTTTTATATTAAGCATAAACTATTAGCTCACGCATACTTTATAATTTTTAAATTTAAAAAAAAAACTCGATTTTATTCGATAAGAGATATGTAACTATTATAGAATGTATAACAGAGATATAATCGTTCTATAAGTTATTAACTAAAATAATAATTAGTGCTGTCTTATTATAAAAAATATTTAATGGCATTATCAATTTCTGTGGCAGGAATTTTCGGAAATTCTTATTCTTGGTAGTCGCAGCTATGCCATTCCATACAAAATGCACCATTCCTAACCAACAGACAAAAAAAAAGAAAAATACGAAAACAAACAATTTGACAAGCGGAATGCGTGGCATCCCAAATTCCCTTCCATAGAAATCCGACCTCAAGCCGGCTTGTGGTCAACGCAAAATTGGTGGTTTATTTATAGCCGAATCGAATGGAATTGGCAAATGCCAATGCAGACAGGGTGCAGCTAAGGCAAATTTATAAAGCGCTTATGCTTACCAAAAAATATTCTTTCCGAATAAATGCACCAGGTACATTGTGCCTACATTGAAAGTTTGGTTTAAATTTTCAACTTAAAAATCAAATAAATGGTTATTTCAATTGCTACTTCCATTTTCCAATGAAGAAATACAGTTTAAAGTTGCCGCCAACCTCTTAAATCACCATGGCGCCACCTATTAGCTTAAATATAAAAACTGTGAGTCTCAGTGCTGACATTTTAGCTGTTCTGTGGATACTGTATAAGAGCTGTCCACTTTTCAAATACAAGAATTCTATTATCAATTGTCAAACTACCTAAAGTCTTTATCTTTTTTAGTTAATGCAGATTAAATCTCTGAAGTCCTGCGGGGTTTCCCCTCGTAACAGATCCACTACGAGCTGTGTTAGCAGAGCTATGTTATCAGCAGGCAACTTAAAGCGGGGACTCACACCGTCAAAGCACTCCCTACTGAAATCCGCCAGGTGTCGCATCCTCCTCAATTAATTTAAAAAGAAACAGCTAATTCCAATTAAATTGAACTTTCTTACCTAATTTAGAATATGTTTATAAAAATAAATTTTTTTTTTAAATTAGTTGCTACTCATTCAAATATGTAATCGGAAGCAAAAGTTGTAAAGAAAGTGGTATTCAAGCCAAGATAAATATTTATATACAAATAAATAACAATGTTTTAAAATATTGTACAAAAAAAACCACAGCATATTTTTCGGGGAAATAAATTAAATTAAGTAAAAATAATGTATTTTCTGTTGTGATTTTTCAATACTGGCGACTGGGCGCGCAGTTTAAAAACGACTCAAACAAGTTGCCTGAGAAACTGATAAGAAAATGGAGTGTTATCTTGTTTAATACTGTTTGCATAGACGCGTAATCAGTGCAGATTGGAAATCGATACTAATTCGACAACACGAAACCAGAGATAACCGCAGCACCCGCTGGGGTTTCTATATAGATATAATACCATTCACCATTTTAATCCGGCACGGCTCACACAAGCAAATGCTTCGATGCTCGGAGGTCCGATTCGATTCGATCCGAGCACACAGAAGCCCTCGGAATCGGAATCGGAATAGGAATCTGAATCTGGGGGCAGCAGCTGCTGGTGATAACAAGGCGGATCGGCTTTCCAACAAAACAATAACAGAACTGCCGTCAGCTCACGTAGTACGCCGGCAGATTTCAGTCGCAAACGTTCGACGAGAGTCGAAAGTCAAGAGTTATCGAGCGGAATTCGAGAGATTCTATTGAGATATTCTATCCTAACCCTGAGATGCGCAGCCTCAGCCGCTTTCGCCTCATCACCTTCGACGTGACCAACACGCTGCTCCAGTTTAGGAGCACTCCGGGCAAGCAATATGGCGAGATTGGAGCCCTGTTCGGAGCCAGATGCGACAACAACGAGCTGGCCAAGAACTTCAAGGCCAACTGGTGAGCGAAACGAGGCAGTACATGGTCCAGATGAACTAACTCATCCCCTTAGGTACAAGATGAACCGGGATTACCCCAACTTTGGACGCGACACGAATCCGCAGATGGAGTGGCAGCAGTGGTGGCGTAAGCTGATAGCAGGTGAGTGTTTGACGAGTGTTTGTCTTCGCCACTGCTCGGTGATAAACAATCCGGCATGTTCCAAAGTGCATTCGACACAATCGCTGCTTAATGTGATTAGTATCTGCAACTTCTCATAGCAAAAGTTGCAAAAATAGCAGAAAAACTAGGGGAAATTAAAATAATATATATTTTGAGTGGGTCTAAATACTCTATGTGAAGTGTTGTCTTCTTTGTCATTTTCTTAGAAAGTGACTATCTTGAATTGCTCTTAAAAATTATTACCTATGCTAAATACTAAACAACAATTATATTTAAGAAAAACTAAAACTCATTAGACTCTATCGATTTCATGACTAACTTTACGCTTGAAAAATAATAGAATAATTAAATATTCTTTTCGTGCGCAGATCACACAAGCGTCAAATTATTGCTTGCTAATTTCTTGATAATTATGAATGTTATATGGAGATGTTCGCTCTCCATTGATGATTTTTATATAATTATTTGGGTAAACAAACATGGCAACTAACCTAAAACAAATCCCTCGACCCGCAGGCACTTTTTCGGAGAGTGGAGCGGCCATTCCCGACGAGAAGCTGCACAACTTCTCCAACCACCTCATCGAGCTGTACAAGACCTCCATCTGCTGGCAGCCCTGCAACGGCAGCGTGGAGCTCCTTCAGCAACTCCGCAAGGAGCTGAAGCCGGAGAAGTGCAAGCTGGGGGTGATTGCCAACTTCGATCCGCGGCTGACGACGCTGCTCCAGAACACCAAACTGGACCAGTATCTTGACTTTGCGGTCAACTCGTACGAGGTGAAAGCCGAAAAGCCGGATGCGCAGATCTTCCACAAGGCGATGGAGAAGGCCGACTTGGAGAACCTCCGGCCGGAGGAGTGCCTGCACATTGGCGATGGACCCACCACCGACTACCTGGCCGCCAAGGAAGTGGGCTGGCACTCGGCGTTGGTGCACGAGAAGAGCTACGCGTATCTGGTCAAGAAATACGGCGAGGACATCGACAGGGACCACGTCTTCCCCAGTCTGTACGACTTCCACAAAAAGATCACGGACGGCTCGGTGGTCTGGTGATTGATTTTATATATATTAAAGTAGTAAAGCCAAATTAACGTGTACTGCTCTTTGAAATACGGCTCATATCGAACTTGCCTTAACAGGTCACCTGTAAAAAAGGAAAGTTCTTAATTTGGGGTTTTCTTAAAAATCCCTAATTTAACGCTTTTAGGCCATAGTAAAGATTTTACTGTGTGGTTTGGAGAGCACTTGGTAAAACAAATTGAGAAGCATTTACTTTTGTTTACTAAATTAGCGACAAGTGGAAAAAACATCTGGCCAACCCGCCAAAGACCTGATACACTCGATAGCATTGGCGCGATTTTCATTCACTCGATAGACTTTTATTGGTAGGGTGACCCTCTCTTTGCTGGTTTAGTATTTTAATTTGGTTTTTGTTAATGGTTTTTTAATAGTTGATAACTATTAGTTTGTTAATTAAAAGCCCTTTTCTTTCAATCATTTCATGAAAGGCAATCTAAATAATAATCTTGATTTACTTACAAAAGAAGTTTAAAGATTATTACTAAATACAAATTCAAATTTTTAGAGACATGCATCTTTAAAATCGGTATTCTATGAGTCAAGCTTTGGGCTCTAGAATTTATGTTTTGGGTCACCTTTTCGCAGATAAACGCAAAAATTGGAAATAGTTCACATTAAAATGGATCAACATTAATTATCTCAGTTTAATAGTAAACATTACAATTTTTAAATCAAATTAAACAACTTATTGTGTATAAACAAATTTTAATGTTAGCTTGACAGTATATAAAATAGGCATTTTATAGTGTTTGTTAACCAATTTACAAAATAATTAACTACTTATAATGTGGGGCCATGGTACTTAGCTCTCTTATCTTATCACGGCAAACATGTTTATATTTGACGTGCAAAAATATCGTTATCTGTTCAAAAGTTCTTCAGTTGATTGAAAAATACCTATATTAGGATTAGCTGCCATATCATAAACCCACTTGATAAGTTTCAAGTGGTGCTAAATAACAGGAGGTAAAGCCAGAGGTGCGAAAAACAAAGGATAGATTGGATTTTAGATTATAGTGGTTTATAAATAGGTGTCTATATGGTATAGGTTAACATAGGTTTATAGGAATACAAGCATAACCTATCAAGGCAGTACATTGCAATGATTCTTAAAATGGTTTGCAAAAAATAATAAATAATAAATTATATTAAAATAAAGTAGTAAGTAGCAGGTATTTCCACTGCAGCGGATTTCTTCCGTTCTCTGCACCTTAAGAGCAGTTTCTCTTTCGTTCTCTTTTATTTGCTAGTACCGCTCTCTTAATGCGGCTGTTCATCCACTTTTAAGTGGCGCAGCCCCATTGGAATTGGCGTCAGTCGCTCACCACCCACGGAACAGAACGAACGTCGCGTGGAGTATTTAGTAGTACACTTCGGAGCTTTATCACTAACAACAAACCAAAACATTCTAAACTCGAACGCGGCTGTGGATACAGATACATTTCAATTTATTTTATTTACCCGTTTGCGTGCGACACTCGCCTTGGGCCAAGTTTGAGCTATTTCTCAAGTTTGCATTATTGTAATTAGCCTGTCCGTCGACAACGAAACGAAACGAAACGAATAAATAATAAAACGCAGAATAATTGCGCTGGAAATAATGTGCGCGGCCAAAAGCGCTAACGTAACGGCTAAATAATAGTAGAAAGTTTTTATTGTTATCTCTTCTTCTGAGCCGCAGCTGCCAAAAACCAAATAACCAAAGCAAAAGCTTTGAAGTTTTGCGTGTGAGCAGAAAAGAAATCCGTTTTGGCCGCATCTCTCCAAATTTATGTGTTTCTGTGCTTAGCTTACAAAATTGGCAAAGTTTAGCCGCCGCTCAGTCAATAAAGCCAAATAAATAAGATACGGCATTGAAAAAATACAAACAAACCAACAAAAAGCATCAACATGTCTGGCCAAATACCCGAAATCAGCGAAGAACAACGTGCGATGTTGGAGCAGGTGAGAACCGGAAAATGGGGTGGAAGAGAATTCTCCAGGGAATTCTCTGTTTCTGTTTTTTTAGGGGACGATAAGAAGGTATTTGCTTGGGAATTTCGATGTTGCAGATAAAGCTCCATAATGAGCCATTATGCTGCACCCCATGGAATCGCTTTTCTATAATAGAGTTTTATCCAGGGAGAAATTAGGAGAATACATTAGTTGCTTTCTTGGGAATGCCAACATCGTAAAATAGTTTTTTTCTGCCAGAAATTCACAGAATTAATTACTTTTTTTTGAATTAGTTGCCTTATAAAATGGTTTTGACAAGGGAGAAATTTAGAAAATAAATTGCATTTCTCCAGGCTATTTAAGTATGTCTTCCCCAAAAGAAAACAAGAAGTCTTGGGAATAAATTAAAAACTAATTTGTTCAACAGATAGTAAGAGAAAAGAATTGCCTTTACATGCTATTTTAATGAATGGTTAATTAAAACAGATAAAGCTACAGACCAGTTAAAGAAACAGAAATGGTAATTTGGTTTAGCTATTGACCAGTCAGAAAAGATGACCCATTGATTCTTTATTAATTTACAAAAAATAATATGTATGTTGGCCTGCTGCCAATGATTTCAAAAACATTTTCTATAACATAATCAATATTAAGATAACAGTTTTAGTATTCACTCTAAATATTTAAATATGTTCCCCTTTATAAAATTCATACCTTAACAGAACACATTTATATTAAACTAGTTTAATCGCAATCGAGATGTTGCCAATAATTGGGCAGCCTAGATTTATGAAATATTCTAAAACAGAATAGTCATCATGCGATCAGCGAAGCATTGATGTTTTTGGAAATGGAAAACTCCTCGCTTGACTTCCTCTTCCAATATTAGCCAATTTTACTGGACTTTTTCCACTGTTTAAATACTGCGGCAAGAGCAGCTGCAACTCACCATGTTCTCTTGTCAGGGGCGTCCGATGGAATAATTTAAAAGGGTTTACTTTAAGTAGCTAGTTATTTTATCGTTTATGGCAACCCCTTCTAACTTCGCCACTGATGTCTGTATCTGCAATTGCGCATTGTTGACTTCTCATGTGTTCTTGGTTGGCACACTGAAAACAGCTTGCGAAATCGGAAACACAGCTGAAGTCGACTAGTGGCATACAAGTCAGCCAGTTGAATAATAACATGCATAAAGATAAAATATAAATAAATTAGGCAAATGGGGAAAATTCATTATTAACTACGACTAAGTCATTGCTTATAATGGGCGGATTAAGACCGGACCCTCGCCCTATTTTAATTGCCCGGGAGATGCTAAGTGCGACTGCCATTTCATGGCACAATGACTGCGATTACCAATATAAATAAACATGAACTGGCTAATGATAAATGCGAATGAGTCGTTAAGTGGAGAGCGTTGATCCAGAACGAAATCACCCAGAGATCGGACCTTAGACCTGTAGAAATCTACTGTAGAAATCTTGCAGTATTTGCATAAATCATCAGAGCAACAGGTTTTGTCCCAGGTGTCTTGGAAATGCCAAATATTCCGAGTAAGCAAAGAGAAACTCCGTAGAGTTTAGTGGTCTTTGGGCGAAATGCAAAATGAATGCAACATTTACCAGCGTTAAATGCTAAGGTAAACAGTATTCGAGTTGCACTCGAAAATATTAAGTGACCACGCCAAATATAGACTCAATTTCGAATGGCTTAATAGGTATTTACCTTTTTGTCTGCCTTCGAAAACGCAGTCAAAGTCAGGCCAGAAATAAAATAACAAAGTAGAAGCCAAAAACCCAGTTAAATGGCCTACGAAACGAGGAAGTACACAGCCAAAGCCAACAGAACTCGGCGCTAATGACACCCATAGTCGGCTATTAGCCAATGCCTGGGGGCCAATAATAAAGCTCGGTCTTCGGCCAAGTTTGCAGCCAAAGAGCGAAAACTGAAAACTGAAAAACCAAATAAAAGAGCCAACGGAGACGGCCGGCCTCGTTATTGAATTCGAATTCCAAGTGGTTTTGGCCAGAGCCGAGTGACTCAGGAGTTGGCAAACAGCCTAGACGCGAGTCAATTAAATGATTAAAATGGTGTTAACTATGCACTTGATCGAATGCAAATATGAGTACGTGATGCTTGCTTAGTAAATATGTTAATAAAACCCCTCAAACAAAGGCGTTAAATGGCAGATAAAACAAATGCAAGTGAAGAAAGAAAATTTAGCTATCAGCTGCTGTTCGAATCAACTTTCGTTAACAACATCCGAATTTGGCAGTCGGACAAGGCCAATACAAATTAACAGCAATTAAGACAACAAAGGCCAATATGTAGTCTATCACACTCAATAAACGTTATCGTTTGGAGATAGGAAAATTACTCGCTAAACTCCGCAAACATGCTGTTATAAACCGTACCCCTGTTCGGCCTTCAGTAAATAAATCATCGAAACAAATTGGTTTATAAATCTGATTAGAAAGACCGTTTTTCAAGCTAAAACCTGATTGCGACATCTATACGAGTTAGAGATCAATGCAATAAGGCCAGCGGCCTATTAATATAAGTAATTTATGATCTAATTCAACTAGTTATACATTTTCTTAAAAAAATAATAGTTTAAATAAATCTGATGTGTTTGGTTTAAGTTAAAAGCAACCCAAAATATTGTAAGTGGACAAAAAGGAGGTCAGCTTAAAATGATTAAACCGTTGCAGCTAAGTACAAAATATATTAGTAGTCTCTCCACTTATTAGTCATAAGCCATAAATTTATCAAATAATAATAGTTTAGTAATTTTAAAACTCGTTATGCGTTTGTATGAAAGAAGATGATTGTGAAAGTTTATTTGTGACATTTTAAAGACAACGGACGAACAGATAAGTGAATAAGAATATATATACTTCATTATATTTTATGGTAAATGCTTACAAGAGCAGGCGGATGCAACATTTATTTATGAATCATATATATTCAATATATTTAATGTACTTACAGTTTCGCCAAAAAATGAACGATGCTCTGGTGGGAACCCACGATGACTATTTCCTAGTGCGCTGGCTTAGAGGTGAGTTATCCACGCAAAAGTATTTCTGGATTATAGATCAACGTTTTATTTACGGTTTCCAAAACCAGCTCGAAAATGGAATCTGGATGCGGCGGAGAAAATGCTGAGAGCTGTAAGTAAAGAAACGATTAAAATAAATGGGTAACATAACAGTTGACCTACAACTCTATTAATACCTCGCAGAGCTTGAAGACCCGCGCGATGTGGAACGTGGACAACATTGAGAAGTGGGATCCTCCGAAGGCACTGCAGGAATATCTGCCCTACGGCCTCATGGGCTACGACAACGAAGGATCACCAGGTGGGTCACAATTCTATATATTATAATTGGCCAAAAATAACCAGCCATTTCCCGTTTTCAGTGCTGGTTTGTCCCTTTGCCAACTTCGACATGTGGGGCATGATGCACTGCGTCACGCGGTTTGAGTTCCAGAAGTACCTGGTCCTGCTGCTCGAGCGGTTCATGAAGATCGCCTACGATCAGAGCCAGAAACACGGATGGCGGGCCCGGCAGCTGGTAGTGTTTTTCGACATGCAGGATGTGAACCTGAAGCAGTACGCTTGGCGACCGGCGGCGGAATGTGTGATCTCCACGGTTAAGCAGTACGAGGCCAACTTCCCGGAGCTGCTCAAGATGTGCTACATTATCAACGCGCCCAAACTCTTCTCGGTGGCCTTTAACATTGTGAAGAAGTTCCTGGACGAGAACACCACCAGCAAGATCGTGATCTACAAGTCCGGAGTGGATCGCTGGCAGCAGCAGCTCTTCTCCCACGTGAACCGCAAGGCGTTCCCCAAGGCCTGGGGCGGTGAGATGGTGGACCGGAACGGGGATCCCCAGTGCAAGGCACTGATGATCTGGGGCGGAAAGCTGCCGGAGGAGCTGTACATCGACCAGAGCAGCCAGCAGAGCGACAGGGACTTCGTGGAGGCCCAGGTGCCCAAGGGCGACAAGCTGAAGCTGCACTTCAAGGTCAACCTGGAGGAGCAGAAGATCCTCTCCTGGGAGTTCCGCACCTTTGACTACGACATCAAATTCGGCATCTACAGCGTGGACGAGAAGACGGGCGAGAAGCGCAGCGAGGTGCCGCTGGGAACAGTGTACTCCAACGAGATGGACGAGATCGGCTACATCTCCACACGACCCAACACCACCTGTGGGTATTTGCAGGTTTCCCCTAGTATCTCTCCTTAACCGTATCCTTTAATCCTCCACAGACACGGTGGTCTTCGACAACTCCGCCAGCTACCTACGCAGCAAGAAACTCCGCTATTGGGTGGACCTGGTGTCCGAGGAGGAGGAGGGCATCTCCGAGCTGACCAGCGAAATGGACAAAACTCAGATTGCGAGCCAGCAGTGAACGGGATCGAATCCCAGCTCGACAAGCAACCACCAAGCCAAAAACCAATGGGAGTAGATAGATTATTTAGATAGACGACAACACAAACTAACCTCGGTGCAATAAAGTCACAACGCATTTGCCAGATCTCCGCTGCCACCTGCTCCTCCGGAGTCCGCATGGCAGCGCCTCTGGCGAATCTGCAATCGAACCATGTGATAGAAACAAATTAGCAAAGGAACACAAAAGTATGACTCACACCTACATTTAAAGTTAGTCTTTTTATTACATACCTAGCCGTCGTGTTTAGTTAACAATTTATGTTCTTGGATGTGTTATCTGTTTTCATACCCATTTATTCAGGGACAGCAGCACAATAAAATGTATAAAGCACCTGATCTTTACATGAAATCGCATTCCTTCTTTTTATCTGGGATCAGATGACTGCTTACAGACGAGTGCATAGTGTGTTTGGTCCTTGGTCCACAGGAACATCTCGACATTGGTGACAAATGGAAGCTATAGACACCGAGAGCCAACTTTTCTTGGTGCGATGGAAGCTTATAAGCTATTTGACATTGGCAATGCCCAGATATATAGTAGTACTAACTAAATAAAGTATTGTAGAGTGGGTCGATTTCGGGGTGTTTATAGAAAAATTATAGAGGAAAGTAACCTGTGATTAGTTTCAAAACTTAGCAGGGATTACTTTCTTTTGCTACGATTCCCAAAACGACTCACCCCAGAGTAGAGTATGTGTTTTGTGCTTTCTTATCCAATAAACAGCTTAACAAATATCTGATCGCCGTTCCGGTTGCCAGCTCACAGGCTTTCAGCTCACGGCTGCTGCGAGGAGGCGCGGCGCTTGCGCCTTCATCACTGCGGACCACCGGGATTGGGGCCCATCTGCGGGTAGCCGCCAGGACCCACGGGCCCCTGAGGTCCCACCTGCTGGGGCTGGAGCTGCTGCATCGGCATCATCGGGTTCGGGCTGGACCCGACTCCGACTCCCACGCCCACTCCTACGCCCACTCCCACACCCACTGGCGGGCCAATGGACTGGTTGGGCGGTGGCTGGGGCATCTCGGTGGCCAGCTGGAGGTTCGTCAGCAGATCCGTGATGGCCGGGAAGAGGGTGCACTGCTCTCTCTGCTGCGCGTTGAACTCGGCGAAGCGGCGGAGGAGCGTGCTGGCGGCGGTCATGGTGGGCGAGGTGACCTGCCCGGTGCGTTCGGCCAGCTGGGTGACGTTCGTCTGGATGTCGTACACGATGGGCAGCACCAGCGAGGGGCTGTCCTTCCAGTCCTTGCCCACGCCCATGCCGGCGCCGTAGGGAATGCGCGTGATTTGCAGGAAGAACAGGATCTTCATGCGCCCCAGAACCACGCAGGCATTGCCACTGGGCACAATGGGCACCGCCGAGGGCGGCATGCGCATGCACATCTGCACCGTCCACTTGAGCTGGTCGCCACCCAGCTCCGGCTTCAGTTCCAGCCGCATGATCTGCACGAAATCCTTGAGCACCTGGGCGGGCAGATTCAGGAGCCGGCAGATGCTGTGCAGGGAGTTGGGTCTGTAGGGTGGAGCTGCCACCCTGGTGTCGAAGTACTGCTCTATCACCATCAGATCGTCCTGGCTGAGTTGGAACGGCTTGTCGGGCATGGGCAGTTGCGAGATCTTGAGGTGCAGTGTCTGCATGTGCATCTGGTTCAGCACCACCTGGCACTGCAGTCCGTCCACCTTGAAGAGCACCACTCCTGGTTCCGTGCTGTTGAGGGCCGTCAGTGTTTCTTCGCTTTGGATATTCCGGTGGAGTTGTCTCCTCATGTAAACGCAGCCCAGGAAGCGCTCCAGCGGGCTCATGTCCGGCACGTTGATATCCTTATTGGGATGCGGACTGGCCCGGCACAGAGTCTCCAGCGCCTCGTGGGTGAGCAGGGTGGGCACTGCTCCAGCCCAGGGGCGGTTGAGAGTGCCCCGTGCGCCTCCCCTGTCCGCTCCACCGGCACCTCCCGGCCCGCCTCCCGTGCTCTTGTGCTCGGGACTCTGTCCTGGTCGTGGAGATGGGCGCGGCATGCTGGGGGATCCGGGCCAATTGTTATTCGCCGGCGACATGGCCGTGAAGGGGGAGTCCTGGTGGCTCTGCATGTAGAGGGTGTTGGGTCCTGGACTGTGGACCATATGTGGACTGGGCTGTGGATTCAGCGGAGACGAAGGCATCAACCCGCTCGGCGACGGATGCGGCATATGCGGCGCTGGCGGGGATGTCAGGTTAAAGTTGCCGTGACCCTGGGCCCCACTGCCACCACCTGCGCCCCGCGCTCGGATGCGGACTGGCAGGAGTGTGGGGATTCGAGCTGGAGGGCGGCGTGTGAGGGGCTGGAAAACGTAGGCCACTGTCCCTCGGCGACTGCGGTCCTCGCATCCCGGTGCCCAGAAATGGCGAAGATCCGCCTGCACTCACTCCGGCCACACTGCTCGGACCGCCGAAGTTATCCTCCATTCCCATGGGCGACAGCGGGTTGTCGTCCTCGTGGGCAGCGCGACCTCTGTAGGCCGCCGACTCGTCAACGTACTTGGAGAGGAAGGCTTTGAGGCCCTGGATGGGCGTGAATTCCTCCACCACGTTGCGCTCGAAACGACTGCTCGCTCCATCTCTGATGGAGACGAGCCTGTTGGCCCGGAAGCGCAGTTCCAGGCAGTAGACGGCCTGGTAGGTCAACCTCATCAGGCAAGGGGATTGGGCCAGCATGCAGAACGATAGCACGGGCACCTGGGGGCGCTGAAATATTAAGCCATTTAATTGGATGAGTTCGAAAGGCTGATGAGTCAGTAGAGCTGACTACACTCACCGGAATTCCCAGGAAGGGCAGCACCGGGAGCTTGGCAATGGAGCTCATTGGGTTGTAGGTCTCGTGCAGGATCTGGGCGATCTGGGTGAGACTGTGCTGCTGGTTCAAGTGCTGCGCCAACTGGTCCCGCATCATTGAGTGCGCGTTGAGGGCCGACATTCCGCCCACAAAGGTCAGTCGGAAGCCGTGCGATTGCACCGACCAGTAGATATTGCAACTCACCTCCTTTTTGGGCCCGTAACCTAGCAGCAAGTTCATGTAGCTGTACGACTTGACCACCAGCATGTCGCAAAGGGAAAGGCGTTCTGGAAATGAATGTATTTAAATTTTGAAGAATACAATCAATGCAATCAATAACTCACTGTTTCGGAGCTGCTCGGCAAAATCGTGAACCAGCGTGTAGAGGTACACGATTTTCGACCAATCGTTGAGCAAATCCTCGACCGTTTTGGAGAAGTCGTGGTTGGCCTGTTCGTAGGTAAGGTAGACGGTTCGCCGACTGCCCTGCTCCTTCTGGTGGCTGCTCTGCAGCGGAGTGCTGTAGAAGACGAACTCCACCACCCAGATTCGCACCTGACTGTTCTTATTGGTTTGCGATCGCACCGAAATGGACAGAACCCGGCGCATCAGGTCCTCCCAGACATGGGGCTCGATTTTTGGAAGGCCGGAGGCGCCACTTGGCTTGTTTTCGGCGGCTCCACCAGCTGCTCCCTGTTGCTGTTGTTGGTTGGTAAAGTTTGTCTTTCCAGGCTGTGGCAAGGCCAGAATCTTGAGCACTAGCGATGTGGCATTCGCTTCCACCTGCAGCCCGCTGTGGGGGATATTGTGCTTGGACAGCGTCTGTGCGAGATTCATGAACGGGATCTTTTCATCGCACATAGCCACCACATGGGCCAACTCCGGAATGAAGTAGGCGGGAAATATGGTCTTTTGTTGTTTGGCAGGAGGCGCCAGCAGATCCCCATTCGACTTGCGTTTGTGCGGGGAAACCTCCGCTGGAAAGCAGTTATAGGTTACTATGGTTTACTATGATTTTCCAATGCCCAAATACTCACCATCAACTTCTGTTCCAGGTCCATGTGTGGCTACGAATGTGTCAAACTCGATAAGGCGCATCAGCTTGGTGTAACACTTTGGAATGTCCGAGTGCGGCTGGGCCACCACCGATACAAGCTGCTTGGCGGAGTCGTCTATCACATCCAGCTCGTCCTTTTGGAAGGCCACGAAGCCCAGGTGGAAGGTGTACTCCATTTCGTTGGGCATGGTTGTCTTCTCTTTGAGTTGAACCACCTGAAAAGGTATTGTAATTATAGTACTTCCATATTTGCTGAAGCCGGTTTCATATTTACCAGCACAATATTGGGATGCCTGTGCAGCTTTACGTAAATCTTGTGCCTGCCCGGCTGCAAAAGCTCCTGCTCCGGTTGGGACAGGAAGGGAAGTGTCTCGGTGGCCGTCGCCGGAAGATGCTGCAGGGTCTTGTCGCACCTGCGATGGGTGATCCAGAAGCGCAGCTCCGATAGCAACGCAGGCAGTTTGCTGCGGTCCCCGTTGAGGCAGTCCTGCATCTCCTCCGTGATCGGACAGTCCAGATGCTTGGGCACATGGCAGCGGAACATGCCCGTGTGTGTGTCGATGGTTATGTGGATCTGCTCGGCCCTCAAGCAAGGCGAAAGCACGGGCACAGTCAAAATGGCTGGAGTTCCCTGTAGGTTGACTGCGAAAGAAGATTACAGGGATTAGCTGATACTTCTGCTGAATTCGATCGCTTTAACTTTACACTCACAGTCAACATCCTTCAAAAAGGCTTGGAACTCCAGCTTCAGGTCGCTCAACCTGGACACGGAACGAATGTACACGGTATGGACAATAAGACGCTCCATTGAAAGATGCTCGGAGCGTACGGCCCGATCCGCCACCTCTGCGGACTCCTTGGCGCCCAGCGAGGGCACATGGACCACTGCCAGTGGACGCCCGATTTCGCTGGGATCCGACTGAACGGTGAGGCGGTAGCCCAGCTCCGATTTTAGGTCCCGCCAGTAGGACACCGTCAACTTAACGCCGGGTACATACTCCTCCACCGTGATGTTGTTATCGTCTAGTCGTTCGTAGTTCAAACGAAGTGTCTGCGTGTACAGAACCTCCAGCTGGAGCGATTGACAAAAGTAGTGCAGACAGTTGTATACTTCGCTCAGTGCATTGGGATTCTCCACCAGACGTGCCTGGATGAGCTGATGAATGTAGTTCACCTGCAGAGGATGCACCAGAGATTTGCCATCTAAAGAAGGAATAATAGTTAGTGAATTCGAATATGTGAAAGGTTCCTTGATTTTTAGAGGCAAACTACTACTCACCTCCAGTCTCCTTGTCCTCCACGAGCACATCGATGTCCAGCAGTCGCCAGGGAACCGTGGGGTTATCCCCCATTACGGTCAGGGCCACACTGAACTCATTTTTCACCTCGAAGGTGACTCGTCCGTTTCGAATGCGGAATTCTCTCATCTGCGGCAGCAGTTTCCCAGTGACCAGGCGATGCTGAATGACCTGGTTCAAACGGAGCAGCGTCTGTCTTTTCTCCGCCGGCGTAATTGCATCGGCGGGCACAATCCGCTCCCTAATGCAAGTGGGCAGTCGATTGTAGGTGCCTGTGGTCAAGACTTCTACGGCGGCGGGTATGTGGAAGTTGGGCAATCTGGCTCGAACCAAAGTTTCGCGAGACATGCGGGCCAGCATGTCGGCGGTCTCCACAAAAAGCATGTTTTGCTTGTCCAGGAAGCTCATGATCTGCGAGGATTTATCCACCTTGGAAACCGAGTTGCCCCACTTGACCAGCGCATTAAGGCGGGTAAACAAGTGGCGGGTGCGGGCCGCATAGTCGTAGATCTCCACCTTGCGCTCCATGTCCGTTTTGCGGGGTAACCTGCAATGCACAGAAAATAAAATATTATGTCCAAACTATTTAAAACATTGAAGGGGTTTTACTTACAGCTCAGCCAGAACAGTGAGTTCATGATAGGTGCGCTGGATGATGAAGTCGATTAGCACCGACATGGACATCGTGTTGATGCGCGGGCCGCCCTCCTGGAATTTAGGAAGAGGGAAGAGTGGGTTTATAGTATTACCATGGGACACGTATTTGGGATGGGTGCTCACCTGGCCAGCGGGCAAGTAGCCGCCTCCGCCGCCGCCGACGCCGGGCATTTGCTCGAGGGGCAGGGGGAGGGGCAAGGGTGTGGGTGCCATGTTTGCTAGCTGCTCCTCGTGCGCTCCGCGTTGCTTAGTGCTTTAGTGATTCCCGATTGCCCACTCTAGTGGTACATATTCCGGTGCAGTTTATTCCTTCTTTCTGGCGTTTTTCCTGCGTTTTTTCGCAAAAATCAGCAACAATTTTCACCAACTCTGCTTGTGTTTGCCACCAGTGTGGACAGATTGGGGATATCTTGAAAATACCACATAAATATACTAAGATACAAAATATATACCAAACACCAAAGGTTGGTTTCTTTGCTATTTTACGATCTTTTTTATAGTTACGATCATGGAAAAATATTTGTATGTATGTGCTTAATTTGTATTTGCTTAACAATCTTTTCGAATTAAATTGGTTTTAAAGATTTCAGAAAGCAATGTTCACTTTAAATAATTGAAATAATTAAAACTGAACATTGTAGTTCTTTAATAAATTACTATCGGTCAAAAGGCACATTATCGAGTTTTTCTTTCATAAAAAATAATTGCTCTTAAATCAAAATCTATTTTGTAATCAGTATTTTGGTCGTATTTATTTGATTTCAGTTTAAATATTGTTTTGCATTGGGAAATCACAGAAGATTTAAATATAAAGTAAAGTCTTACCCAATCTAAAAAGGTGGAATAATAGAAAATTACCCTTTGGCTTTAGATTTTAAAGCGGTTTTAAATTTCTTAACTCTACATTAAACATAATTTTTTCCATTTTTTGTACGTATTAAATGAGGTAAAAGTTAAATGAGGTAAAAGCAATTGTAGCAACGGTGTGCTCTCAAGATTCGAATAGTTTGGGCATCCTTTTGCTCCAGGTTAATAACTCAATTCCGCTGGCCGGGCCAATTATAGACGGGGAAAGTTCATTGACCAAATCAGCTTTCCATTACCACTCGGCTGTTTTAGTTTTCCTCATGTGGCGGCTGTTAAAAATAAGGAAAACAAAAACATTTCCGCTTTTGTTTCTTTGAATTTTGACACGGTTGATGTTTGGCTGCCATTGCACATGGCACTCGGCACTCGTGGTCGTGGTCGTGGGCCTCCCATCCCCGATGCCTCCCCCAATCCTCGATAAACAGCCACTGATTCAAGTGGCGGCACATGCCAACCGCTCCACCCCCCTCCCCAAAGTATTCCTATGGGCCTTGCAAAGTGGCAGCCACCTACGGAATCGCTCCACTTGCACTTGGAAAGTTCTCGGAGTTTGAACTTCTCCCCTAATTGGTATAAATAGAACTTTATGATCTCGCCACGGAACGGCACGATCCAAAAGTTCCAGGGCCAGGAATTACTCACATATCCGGCCGCTTGGCATTCCCCTTCCCAAAGTCGGGGTATGGATGCCCCCAATCCACCCATATCCACATCCACATCCAAATCCATATCAATCCGACGGAACCCTTGAGTTTCCCGAGGAATTCCTGTAAACAGGATGCGACCAGGGCTGAATTGGGTGCTGAAGTCGCTCTTATCCACATAAATTATGGCCACTCGAGTTTGTATCTCCATATAATATATCTGATTCCGATCCATCACTGCGATTAGGGGATAATTTACTTAACCACACCATTTCGAATTCATTTCCCAAACAAAAGACGGAGAAAATTGTTTTCGTTTTCCCGCTTTCTTTCTTTCTGGTTGATTGTTGAATTTCGCATTAAGGCGGATTCCGCTTATTTATCTGCGTAAATAATTGGACACCCTCCGGCTGTCTGGAATTTGCGGATGTGAGTTCGATTCACTTGCAGATTCCACTCGGACGAGGTGGTGGCCACATACTGCAGTATCCCGGATTACCCCTCGCATTTTACCTACGCAGAGAAGGAGCACCGAACCACCCGATCTTGACGGGAGCAGTTAAAAATAAAGATCCAGGGGCACTTAATAAACTGTCATGCACTGAGGGAAATGGGGGGCCTGCAATTAGGGGATCATTATCAGTTGAAAATTAAATTGAATTGGTTTATTGTTGATATATGCATCATTTTTTGGACAAGTAATAGTACAAGTTTCAAAACATTTCTACATATTTCTTAAAAACCAAAATATAAACATTCAAATAATTATAAATTTAATTGGTAGACAACCTGTTCTCTACATTTGGGTGAGTCACAGAAATGCCTTTCCATCAATCATATAACATACAAATTTTGAGCGAATTTAAATGGGAGATATTGTTGTGACATCGCTAAATTAAATATGTTAAAAAAAAAGTTATAATTCCAATCAAATTTTTTAAAACAAAATGTGAATATTTTTCAAATTATTATTTATTATTTTCAGTGTGGAGTTGGGAAAGGAGCTGTCGTACGGGAGATCGGACCACGCAATTGCGCAGCAAGTGAGCAAAGACTACCGATCGCCGAGGGTCTGGGATCTGGAGGAGTACCGGGGGAGGGGAAGGGGGACTACGACTACGACTACGACCTCGACTGGAACCAGGACGAAAATAGATTTATGGCCGCCAGTCGCGACGACGTCTTCGCCGGTTTCCAGAATCGCTCGCATGGGGCATGCTACATCAGAAACTACACACTACAAAACAGAGTAATCCGGGCTGATCCACTGCGATTTGCTGGGCTTTCTGCTGGGGACACTTCCTTTGTGCCAGCCACTCTTTTGCTCCTTTCTTCTCTTATTAATTGCCGTGATTAAAGGCGACACGAGATGTCTTTAGCACATGTCACACTCGGCAGAAGGCCTTTCCCGGGTCCAAAGCTCCGCGGTGATCGTGATGCATGGCTATGGCCCATCCTGACCTTACCACTCAAATTGCATTTCCATGTTGGCGCCAGACAAAGCCCGGCAACACTTTTCCAGCCTCCACCCCCCAAAAAATTTTCTTTGTCTTCGGTGCGTGGGCTGCAAGTTGTAGAGTGTGAAAATGCCGGAGGAAGTGCGAAAATCGGGAAATAAAGACGGGGACAGCGATGTGGAAATCGGGGAGCCACTAAACAGATTAGTTGGTGAAGGGGTAAAAAAGTAAAGATCTTTTGTGAAACATCAGAAACCAATTCGAACCAGAACCAGCAGACATAAATCATATAGAATATATATGCATAGAAAATACGTTAGCACCCAATACATTCTGAAAAGCACCCAAAAGGGGCGACACTAAGTTCATTACGCCTGAAAAGTCGAAAATGAAAAGTGGGAGAGGCGACGACAGCGACAACACCTGTGAGAAATCCGTTTTGGGGCTTTCAAAGGCCAAAGGAGGTGGAGAATTTAACCGAAAACAGAGAGAGAGAGCGAGAGAGTGGAAAATTCTGGGAGCAGATGGGGTGGTACAGGTGAGCGAGTCTATTTTGGGTGGCCGCAACAAGTACGCAAGCGAGGAAAATGCCAAATTGCATACGACTGCGTCACTCTTCCAAAAGGGGAAGAATCAGCAGGGGAAGAATCTGGGAGAGATGGGGAAGGGGAGGGCGGGGGAGCCGGCTACAGAAGAAACTGCCCAACCACGAAGCGAGAGAATCCCATCCCCCCCTCATCTCTCTTTCTGGGCAAATCAGCATGGGGCAGGCGAAAAAACACACTGACACATGGGGCAAATTCCCACAGTTGCGGTCACGAAAATAGCATTACTGGAATTCACCAAAAAATAGTTATTAAAATAACGCAAGTTATTATTTATTTTTTTATAAATATATAAAGGCCTTTTTTATAATTTTGTACTACTGTTTATAAATAATTCTTGTGACAAACGTAATTTTTCTATAAATCTAATATTTATAAATGACAAATTATGCATGATTCTTAAAAATAAGTAATAATATTCAAAGGAAAAAGACCGTCAAGAATTTTAACAATAGGATTTTGTAGTATTGAGGCTGAACTCAATATTTAAAGATATTTAAATCTCTGTGCCAGTCAAAAAATAATAAATTATTTTGTACTAATAATGGTTCCTATTACGTTAACCCCTTCTGTTTTGCACCGAGTGCGTGAGGTTTTTGACACTGACTGCGGATCGCAAGGGGAATTCTGCGCAGTGGTCCTGCCAGCAGGAGCACCGCCACCTCGAGCAGAGTTTTCCCTTTCGGAAAATGCAGGCGGCGCAGGCGAAAAAGAGTGGGGGAGAGAGCTCGGAGAGCGGCAGCATAATGAAAACATTATTTTCGGTTTATTTTTAAACCGCACACACTTGTTCCGTCGCTGCCGCAGTCGGCGTCGCTGCCTCAGCCGGCGTCGTGGCTCGTTCTCGGAGTTATGTTCGATTCGATTCCGATACGATATATGGTCCGCTACATATCGTACGATACGATCCTCGGGAAGAGCGCCCAACAGCTGCTGGCTGTCGTCCACGTCCACGACCAGGTCCTCCTCCTCCGCCTCCTCCATTTCCTCCGGCGGTTCGCTCCGTGTCAGCTTCGTCACCTCCTCGACGTGGATGCGGAGCTACACGGGGAAAAACGATGGTTACCAATAGCAAATTTCAATAAGCAATAGTTGAAAATATAGATCCGAATAATCCGAAACAGTTTTACCCAAAAATGGGTAAATGGGTATGGGAATATGTATAAGTGTTAAACAATATATTAGAAAACATAAATACAAATCCTATATCAAATAATTTAAGATCGATAGCTAACGGTTTTACCTTTAATTCGGAACCCTAGTTTTTTAAGAAAGTCCATGAACCCATCGAATCTATTTCATTTCGTTCTAAAACACTATTAGTCTGTTTTAAATGAAATGAAATAATTATAACTTTTTGCACTCCAAATTTAGTGACTAACATTTGTTTCCTCCAATTCATGTATGGAAAATAACCAGAATTTTGCACTTTTCACAACCCGTATAGTGTATTTCTCTCAGTGTAGAATACGGCAGCAGAGAGGTGGACGCCGCCGGCGGCAGAAGAATCGGCCGGCAGCGGCGGCCGCAAGATGTAAAAACTGTAAGTGGTCCGCCGAAGAACGCTCAGTTCTTCCTGGGATCTCGCTGCGTGCACCCGCATTTTACGGATGCGAAATCCGTCCGTGCGACTAACAAATCGGTTTGACAATTGGCGAGGATCACTATCGATCCCCCGGAAATCACATGCGAGCTCTTGGCGGGTGATGAAATTCGTGGAACCCGTTCTGTGTGTGTGATATATACAATATATATTGATTCCCCATCGGCAACTGAATCATCCGTCTGTCTATATACGAGATAGCACCCAAAACTATTCGAGCTGCGTGGGGTGAGTTGGCAAAAAAAAGTGAGCGAAAGGTGGGGGAAAGTGAAAGTGAAAGGACTTGGTGCTGACCCCTTTTCCCTCTTCACTTTCCACTTTCCCACCTTTCCGATTACACAATAGAACAAAGAGAAGACACACCTTGAGGCATGCATAACTATTTGCCCAGGAAGCGAGACAATATCGAAAATCTGCTTGGCAAATTGGGCCAAAAGATTCGCGTGACTGCGAATGAGCGGCGTTTTCCGATCCCCATTTCAGACCTCCAACCCCCCCTCCCCTCACCACACCTTTTAGCCGAACGAACCGCACTTGTTAAATTAATATTATTATTTCTTTTGATATTTTGACATTTACGTGAGCAATGTTTGCATTGGCAATGAGCTTCCGAGCTTCTGAGAACGGGAAATAGTGGCCGGGAATGTATAGTATCTTCCCGTACGACTATATATATATATATGGACATGGGTGTAGCCATTGTCTTGCGGTGTTAAATGCGTTTTGTTTGTGTGGGGCAAACTGCGTAGATCCTCAGGCCAATTTGGGGGCATAAAACAGCAGATATACGTACGTATGAGATCAATCTTGCGGCTCGGCGGCTAATTACCTGCCGTGATTTACAGGTGAGGAGCAGGCTCCTTTGTGTCCTTTCCCGTCCAAATGTTTATACGGCCGGGGTCTGTAAACAAGCCATCGGGAACTGCAGTTGAGGCAGCGATTGATGAGGGCCTGCGTTCTGGGGTAAACAAAACGGCTTCCCAAATCCAAACATTTCAATCGAAGCGCAGTGGGGGTGGTACATATATGTGTAGTATGAGCTATATGTGGTATGTGCTATGTGGCATTGACTCTGAGGCACTGGAAAACTGGAAAACTGGGAGGCAACAGCCAGAGGTTGAGGCTGGCGCTACGGACAGTTGTTTATTGTGCATTAGCGTTTTCAAGTTTGAACTAAAATGTAAACTATGCAAGGGATCACTGCCTCCGGTCCTCGGGATCAGGTATTTATAGACGCCCGGTGGCGACAGCAAGACGCATGTTAAGGCCACCGAAGCCACCTCTGCTGGCCATCGGAATTCCTCTTTTCCTCCGTTTTTCTCTGCACATTAACCGGACTTTGAACTCTGAATACGGATCTCGAACGGCCGGAGATTGGAGAGCGAAAGGCGGAAAGCATTTGCGCAGATCTGCGGCGAAAAGTTAAATACCGGGTGAGCGGTCCATGGTCCATTGTTCGGTGGTGCACATGGAATGCCCAAGATTCAGTTGGGGGCACTGAAATGAGTCATCCAGTTTGGGGGGAGTCTTATCAGCTTAAATACACTGTGGCAAGAACCTTATAAGATGTTTTTAAACACCCAAATGTCTTATTTTAATTTCACAATCGATTTTAAATTTCTTTTACATTTCTCATGATTTAAAATTAGTAAATCAGTCAATGACAAAATATTTGGAATAAATGGATCTCAAAATATATCAGACAATCAAAAGATTTTGAAGCATAAAGGTGGGAAATGAGTCATTAGGAATATAAATGAAATATCTTAATTTGATTTTCTATCTCAAAATGTAAGACAATTAAAGTTGAAGTAAAAGTTTTGAAATGAGTCATTAGGAATATAAATGTTTTAGTTACCAAATTTCTTAATTTTTTTTTTTTTTTGATTTTCTCTATTGATTTGTTTGCTGTGTAAGAACTTCTTAAGGGAGGCTAAGGCCATCAGTGTTTTTCATTAGACTTCGAGGCATATATCGACGATCCCTGCCCACCTTCTTCCTGTGCTGTCATCTGCGATTACCGATCAGCAATCGCACGGGGCCGCGGAATAATTAATTAACGACCTGTCACAGAAACATGCGACATTTCGTATGTCCCAAGCGATTCTGACATCGGAAATATGGCACAGACATTTCTTTTGGGGGGGATACATACTATATATACGAGCAGGGGGGATATGGAAACTGTGTACTACTCACTTGTCAGCTGTTTTCCCCCGGCGAATTCTCAGGCGCATATTGTTCCTCGGAGACTTTGGGTATTTCGCGTTCGATGGAAATCGGGTATTGAAATGACGTGATTAGGTGGAAAATGGCATACATTTGAGTGCTATATTTAAATGTATACGGCAAGGCGGCAACCACCTGGGAACAGGGCCTCAGGTGGTGGGGCATACATATAAATAAATGGGCCGCAAATTGCCAAGACACAAATTATGGATGTCTGGCGGCTTTCTGCTCACACCCACTCGAAGGGTGGGAAAGGGGGGAGAGAGGGGCTGATATAATGCCTTCATGGAAAACCACTTTCGAGCACCTTCGACCACCTTGGCAGCCAGAATTCCGCTTAATTGCCGCAAGAACATTTTGATGTACTGCTCCCCGAGGAGCAGATGAGAATTGGCAGCTAAGCAGACGCAACAGGTTGCAGATTTCGCTGGCGGGGGCGGATGGCAGATGTTTATCTATCTATGGGGCATTTCGGGGGGATTTCCACCCCAGAAACAACAAAATCACGCGGCCTCAGGCGAAATACAGAGAGTGCTAGAGAAACAAACAAAAACGAAAGCAAGAGCAAAACCAAAAACCAAAATCAAAATCAAAACCAAAACAGCCGCCGAATTATTGCACATGACCTCCTCAAGAGTGGAGATCCACTGATCTTCGCAGGGGATTTCCTCCCCAGATTCCTCAATGAGTTCGATTATTTAGACAATTTTTTGGGGGCATCAAAATAAAGGAGAGAACTTTCCCATGATAAACACACGATCAAGTGCGCCGAGCAATATATAAAATTTGATGGATACTTAGAGATGGATAGACATACTTCAGACCCCCCACTTGGTTCAGAATTACTGAATACTACTTAATATGAGGCATTATGTACTCAACTAGGGGAAAATGAATAGGTATTTTGTATTTTTTTATAGCATATTTTAGATTGAGTTTCTAAAACCCATATGACATATTTTTGCAGAGTTGAATCATGTAAGAGTTTATGGTACTTAAATAGGATCAAGTTGGATTTCTAGAATGATTTTGAATGTAAACCCCCCGAATAATTAAAAAGTCTGCTTATTACCATAAGAAAATTGTTCACTTCAAGTGGAGTTAGATAATGTAATCTAAAACCAATGTAAAGAATAAACCAATCACTCAAATAACTTAGTTTTTGACCATATGAACCCTTAATTGTTGAGAAATCTTAAAGATGTTTTTTCTCCGTGTGCCACAAGTACAGTAAACTCTATTAATTAGGGAAATCACCCATATACCAGACGGAAACCCACCTGACTTTCGGGTGAGCCAATTACGTGCGAGATTAATCAATGCCAAGACAACATGAACAAATTAAGCGCACTCATTCCGACATAAATTTATTTGACCACGCAAAGAGGCACCACCAAAGATCAGCACCACCGAAACATCAGCACCACCAAAACATCAGCACCACCAAAGCATCAGCACCACCGAACCACAGAACAGAGCAGCCAACAAGTGCCAGAATCAGAATCAAAATGCAATATGCAGTGTGTAGTATGTAGTATGTAGTATGCAATGACGTTAATCATACGCCCCGTGGGCTCTGCTCACCCTCAACCCGTGCGATAATTCGCATTCGGCAATGATGATGATGCAGACGACTTTGGCTCACATCTCGGACTCCGAGTGTGGCCTCTCGACTCTGTCCTTAATTATAAATTGATGCATTTTCAAATAAACAAACAAGAATTATGGCGTAAGCACAAGGAGGGAAAGATCTATGATAGGTGGGATGATAGATGGCGGCGATTGCACCGGGGATGTGCGATCCATCCGAAAATTCGATTATTGGTGTATTTTCGTGCCTTTTTTATAGACATAATGAGCCACTAATTTGAAAATGTTGAGTTAAAAGCTTATAATTAACGAGGATTCCATTCGATATGAGTCTTTCACACCATTATGGGGTCAATGCTGATGTAGAAACTGAATTTCAAATTTTTATTGAAGAATTGAGTTTAAATTGATTACAATGGTTTGGGATGGAAAAAGCTAAACTAAGCGTATAGACAATAATATAGTTTATTAGCACCTAAACATTTATTCAAACACTTTAGATGGGTAAATGATTAGAGATATTTTAGAAATCTTTAATAAATTGTTTGGCAATATCGATATTTAAAATTGTCATTCATAATATAGCCTTAAACACTCTTTAAAACTTTTAGGATCTTAAATAAATTGTAGCAGGGAATACTTTGAATTTCCCACTTATCTATAGGTTTATATTAAACTTTGACGATGTTGGGGTCTATTTTAGCTGGTTAATGACGCACCTAGTGCGCATTTAGCAGGTTGCCATAACAATATTTAGCTAGTCTGTGCTAGTCATGCTGTTCTCATCACAGAAATTCCCCATGTCTTGCAGGCGATTCACCATCTCCGCACCACGATGACGAAGGACCAGCAGGCGACGCCCATTCCCGAGGAGCTGTACAACCTCACCAAGCTGGCGGAGGTCACTCTGGCGGCGGGTCCCATGATCACCGCCAACCTGCTCGCCTCCTCGGACGACGACTCCAACTACTACAGCCACAAGGTGTTCGACCGCAGGAAAATGCGGTGGCGCCCCATCTCCGACTCGCATTCCTGCACCGGCAGCAGTGCCAGCTCCACGTCCAGCCTGCACTCCGCGGAGGACCATGCCGCGGAGCACCTGCATCCGGAGCCGGAGCAGGGCGAGATCCTCAGCGCTAGTTCGCTGCTGGAGGATGAGCACATCTGCCCGGAGTGCGGCAAGAAGTATTCCACCTCCTCCAACCTGGCACGCCATAGACAAACCCACAGGTGGGTTTGCTTTTCACCTTGTGTGTTTGGAGGATTCCAAAGTAATCAAGATCCCTTCGTCCCACCAGGTCAATCATGGACAAGAAGGCGCGCCACTGTCCCTACTGCGAGAAGGTGTACGTTTCCATGCCGGCCTACTCGATGCACGTGCGCACCCACAACCAGGGATGCCAGTGTCAGCACTGCGGCAAGTGCTTCTCCAGGCCGTGGCTCCTCCAGGGCCACATCCGCACCCACACCGGCGAGAAGCCCTTCAAGTGCGGCGTCTGCGAGAAGGCCTTCGCCGACAAGAGCAACCTGCGCGCCCACATCCAGACCCACTCCAACACCAAGCCGCACACCTGCGCCCGCTGCGGCAAGGCCTTCGCCCTCAAGTCCTACCTCTACAAGCACGAGGAGTCCTCCTGCATGAAGAACCGCACTGGGGTCTCGGGATCGGGATCGGGTTCCCTCTCCACTAACCGACCGCCCACTTCGCCCAAGCGACAGCAGTCGGAGATGGGAGGCAGCTCCAGTTCGGGATTGGGTCCTGGATCACCTGTCACAGTGGTAAGCTATAATATAATACCTGCTACTTACAAATCATTCAGAAAGTTTATGAAAACGGAAAAAGGGAATTCTTCAGCTTAAGAGAACTTAAATTGTATAGTACAATAGGAATTAATAGCTAAAGCTTTATTACTTAAAATCCTCTTGAAATAACATTGCTTATTATTTTACATTTCCATGAATAACATACTATTTTGTGGGCATGACCAACTATTTAATTCTGAGTTAAAGTAATATACACCATTAATTTGAAGGGCATTCTGGAATTAATAAAATCCCTGCAAAAAACTGAAATTAAGCCTTACATTTCTCCACTTTTTTCCAGTGTGCTGCTCCTGACTCTGCCAAGTCCACGTTGGCCAATAAACTGCTGCAGAAGGAGAAGGAGCGCCGGCAGGCTGCATTGGCCTTCCATGGCTATCCAGGTGGTCCGGAGGTGACTGCCTATGGCCAGGAGGAGTACGAGAAGTTCAAGCGGATCAATGTGATCCAGCCCACGGCGCTGCCCCACAGGATACCCGGTCTCTACCAGGAGCTGCACCCCAATCCCCACCTGCCGGTGCCGCTGGGATTGCCCTTGGCCCTGCCCTACCACTTTCCGGGGCAGGCCACGCCCACCCAGGGATCAGGAGGGATGTGCAGCACCACGCAGGAACAGCCCGTGGACTTCTCGCCCAAGAACAACTTCACGCACTCGGCCAAGACGAGTCCCTTCGAGCTGACTGGGAACTATGCCATGGTGGCATAGGACGTCCACAAGGGGACACCACGCAAAAGACACCGGAGAGAACGAGAGCAGGAGACCTCCTTCAATGCCCAAATACCCAAGTACCCAATTACCCAATTATCCAATTATCCAATTACCCACTTTACCAAATCCAAGCAAAGCCCACCCGAAACCAGGCCACTTTCTTACTGTAGTCAACGAATATGTGATAAAAATGCAAAAGAGCTAAAGTACCATTAGAGAGTAGATGATTCCAGAGCGAGGAGGACGTTCTCGAGAGGAGGTGACTCCGAGGTTATACACAGTAGATGTTTAGAGAGACACGGTTGGACCGATCCCCGACGGATCGCTTGATCTTCACTTAGATGTAACAAGAGACTTCTTAGAGACTTGCCAAGAACAGCGACAAAAAACCAATGTAACCAGTATTTTTTTATAGCACATACGACCATCGATCGAAGAGCGAGAGATATAGCATCCCAGATCCGATCGAACACCGCAGCAAAGCTACAAACTACAAAACTTTACACATACTCATCTAGCATTATGATTTTACAATGAACTAGGCATATCCAAAGATAACCACTTACTAACCCATTAACCACTTCGCATTAAGGCATCGATCGACTTCCTGCTTCCGGCACGGAAGTCGCTCCAAACGAGAGAATTTCTAGTCTTTATCTGTAAATTCAGCGCACACATTTGGCGAACGGAGACGGGGGTTCCCCGATCCCCAACCTCCTTGTGGCACTTGTGTGCGTGACGTTATTTTAAGCACTTTACGGCCGCATGTGGTGCAATAATTGACATAACTGTAACACTAATTAGCCCCTACCACATCGCACAGAAATCTGTATATTTTTATCTTACGATTCGGAGAGATCGCCCATTTATTGTACACTTACCATCTAGTTAGTTATCGAGAGACAGACCCCCACTGCATTTCGCATACTCAGCCCCCAATCGACTCGATCAACTCCGACTCGACCTACAGCTAATCGCACCAAAGATACTTACTTTTAGATGCATACTACCTTTATATACTCTTACTTACCATATACACCAAAAGTTATATATACACATATATATGTACTCGTACACGTAGCTCTAAATTGTATTATAGACTTGCACTTTAATTCGAATTAAAAGAGAGATCCACTGATCCCCGAGAAATAAAAATGTATATGTGTTTTCTTTGGAACATGGTGCATCTTAAAAACTAAATAAATGCATATCAGTACCTGTTTTTTTTTTTTTTTTTTTTTTTTGATTGTTGAACTAGCCACATTGATATTAGATAATAAGATCCGCTTATCATCTATATTTTATTAATATTTAAATAATAAAATAAGGAAATATAGTAATAATACATTGCTCAGCTTAACCACTCTGCCAATTGATATAACGAATCGGGGTCACCAAGCTTAATTACACCGATATTAGATGATATTTAAATATATAAATTATTAAATATTTTATTATTTAATATTTAAATAATAAAATAAGGAAATATAGTAATAATACATTGCTCAGCTTATCCAGTCTACCAATTGATATAACGAATCGGGGTCACCAAGCCATACGTTAATTACTTTTACGAATTACTTTCCAAAAGAAATGCCCACGTTCTTGGTATTGAACCAGTTTATTAAATTTTTGTTGCTAGCCGGTGCAAAAAAATTCGAAAGAAACTTGTTCGAAGACTGGAGATTTGGACTGCCATCAGAGTAAGGATCGCCGTGCTAATGTTCCAAATGGGGGAGTATAAATGTGTGTGTCAAAGAACGATGAACTTGAAACATAAAAAGGTGTAAAAAAATAGGGTGTTAACTAGGACTTCTCCCGTGGCGAATCGCGGAGGCCCAAGCCCAGGCCCAATCGCGAGGATGAGGAGCCGGTGCCCGTGCCCGTGCCCATGCCCATGCCCATTCCCATTCCCGTTCCCGAGGAGCCCTGGGAATAGGGAGGGACCACCTTGAGGACGGGCTGCTCCTTGATGTCGCCCACGGTCTCCACGGACGTGGCTTTCCGCTTGCCCCCGCAACGCACCACCAGGTCCTCGTAGCTCTTGTGGTGCAGCAGGCACACCAGGATCACGGTCATGTTGTCGCCGCCCAGACCGCTGGACTGGCCATCCGGGGACAGGCAGTTGTTCATCAGCTCCTCGCAGATGGCGTCCGGCTCCAGGCCGTCACAGATGCGCCTTCGGACGAAGTGGCCCACCTCCGCGCTGCTCATCACATCCCAGATGCCGTCGCAGGCGAGGAGGACGAACTCCCAGTCCTCGCCGATGTCCCGCACCTCCACATCCGGGTTGGCCGTTACGATCTGCTCCTCGGGACTCTTCAGCGCGTTCTTCTTGTAGACGAAGTCGCCGAGGGCGCGGGACAGGGCCAGGTTGCCATTGACGCGGTTGAACTCCACCCAGCCGCCGCCGGCAAGGATGCGCCTGGTCTCCACCAGGTCGTTGGGCTTGTGGTCCACGGAGAGGGCCTGCACCACGCCGGCCACGCAGGCGATGGCCCGCGAGTCGCCCGCATTGGCGCAGTACAGGCGCCGCTCCCGGATGAGCACCACCACGGCCGTGGAGCCGGCACTCTGCTCCCCGAAGGAGCCGTTGTGCAGCATCTCGCGGTCGAAGTCGAGGAAGGCCCGCTTCAGGGCCACCTCCACGCCGTTGTCCCTGTACTCCGGCCGCTTCGTCACGAACTTGTGCAGGTGCTTGCCCGCGAACTTGGCCACGCCCGCCCCGCCATGACCGTCGTAGACCGCGAAGAAGGCCGCCTGCGGGTCCTCCGGCAGGGCCAGGATGTGGGTGTGGGCGTCCTCCATCTCCACGCGCCACCCCTGCATGCAGCTGGAGCCCACGCGGTACGCCGCATTGCCACTGCAGGCCGAGTCCTTGGTGGTCACCGGCTCCGACAGCGTCTGGCCCATGATGAACTTAAGGAACGGGTAAGCCAGCGACATCAGGATCGGGATCTCCGCCAGATACTCACTTCGCTCGGGTGCCTCTCGATTCTCGTTCACTGTTCGCTTGACTTGAGGTCTTTCTCTGAGCAAACTTTTCGTTTGGAGGAGGTAGTAAGTCTAGTCTGTCTGGGATCGCCCAAACGGGGTTTTGGAATTTAGATGACTGACTCGACAGTGTCTACTCCGCTCGGGGAAAGTATTGATGGATTGTGATACGACTCCCAGATCTGTTCAAACTCTGGGGGAGAACAATAAGGAAGGATTCAGCATCGTCAGTTGGTTTTAAGTATCAAAATCTACCGAAATGATTTAAACTTGATTTATTTGAGCTCTGAAAGCTGAAGTTTAAAAACTAAGGAACCTTTCACAATTTTGCATTGAAAATGTCCTCTATACATTTCTTCAAACATCTTTATAATTGGGTAATATTTAATTAAATTAAAAAAAAAATTAAAATAAAATGTATAATACATGTTGGTTTATAAAACCAAACAATTATATTTATTTGTTATCTATGAAGTTTTGACACTATGAAATTAAATCAAGGACCGGAAATAGTCGTTATTTAAAACGGGAGTATTTAAAAAATGCGCCACTGCCCCAGTGTGCCCATAACTCTTCCACATACTCTTATCGATATCGATATCTTTTGCAAATCAATATCAATGACCTGGTATATTTTTTCAGGGTGACCGTTTAAAGGGTATTTTATAGTACATAGGTTTGTTTTTGTTTATCATAAGCTTTGGTGCTCCAGAACTTGTTTAATTTCATCGGATTGGAAGGCCCCGGAATTGTTTGACATGTCGCACCGCCACCAGGACATCCCTATCCGGCCGCGCTACGGCTACGTGGACGAGGAGAGTGGCCAGGCGGAGGGCAGTGGGCCGAATCCGAATGCAGCCAGATCCGGGGCCACGCCCGCCTCCTCGTACACGGAGATCCCCTTCCTGGCCCAGTATCCCGGTCCGGTGCCGGAGCACGTCCTCCAGGATCTCACGCCCACGGCGGCTGGGAATCCAGCAGTTCCGGGACTCCAGGGAAAAGGTCCGAATGGCGAGAGCTATGTGAACCTGGACTCCGGCGAGGACGACGATGGCGCCGAGGAGGATGACCCCGAGGAGGAGGACAACAGCAACTCGAACAGCAACTCCAGGGACAGCCATTCCGGGGACATCCAACGGCACAGACTGAAGGCGGAGAGCAGTAGGATGGGATCTCTGGATATGGCACCTGAAGCCCTTACAAGATTACCCTCTTGCCTTGCAGATCTGCCTTACGAACTGGAGGGAGCCAGTGACTCGGACGGAATGCGTCACTTTGTGGCCCACGACCTGGAGGCCAAGTTGCGCGAGGGAGTGGCCGCCTCCACGGACTACTCCTCGGAGCACACCACGCCCTCCACTTCCATGGGTCCTGGCGTGCCAGTGGGCATGGGAATGGGCTTGGGCTCATCTGGAAACGGCCTGCTCACCAGGAGATTCCTGCAGTCCCGCAACGTGCCCGAGGTGGACGGCAGTGTGCTGAGCGACATAGAACTGGAAGCCCAGTATTTGGCCACCTCGGTGGACAACCTGCTGGAGAACCTGGGTAACCTGCTGCACTCCATCTCCTCCATAACCGCCGACAACGTGGAGGTCCATCGGAATGCCGTCAACAAGCTGACGGACACCCTGGATGCGAACATCAAGTGCCAGTACCAACTGCTGGCCAAAGCGGAGGAGATCACCAAGTCGATGAAGCCCACGGAGCAGCTGGGCCAGCGCATGTGAGTGGCCCAATCCCCGCCAGACTCCCCAGATCTAATGTCCACTCTCTTCTGCAGCAGGGAGATCAAGCGGCTGGTGGACATGTTGGACAGCACCATGTAGAAGGTTCTACGAGCCCGTGATCTGTGCAATCGAAAAGATCTTGTGTTTCTAGTCATTCCGTAAATACATTTAAAGCAACAAGAAGTTATTGACTTGGAGTTTGGTAATGGTATGTCTATTACAACTTTAAAAATGTTTTTCTCTAGAATATCTAGGCTGTTTGCAGTGAATTGCAGTGTATTACAAGCTTGAATTCCAGTAAACTAGGTACAACAACAATGCCTAAAGTAGTTTGCACTCTAGATCCTTTTCACAACATTCAGAATTTAGAGTAACACAAAGTCAACAGTTTCTAAACCTATCAAAGATTCATAATTTTTGAATATTTTTGTATATTTAAAGATAGTGTTAGTCTTTACATGCGTTCCCAGCTCCTTCACCATTCCACCCCGTGCCTCAGAGCTTCTCCACCTTGGCCTTGATGATCCTCAGAGGATCCACTGGGCGATCGTTCTTGTCGGTCTCCACCATTCCTATCCGCTTGACCACTTCCATGCCGGTGTAGACCCGCCCGAAGATCGTGTGCTTGCCGTCGAGCCACTGCGTGGGCGCCAGGGTGACGAAGAACTGGGATCCGTTGGTGTCCGGTCCTGAGTTGGCCATCGAGAGGATTCCCGCGCCCGTGTGCTTCAGGTCGCCGTGCAGCTCGTCCCCGAACTCCGAGCCGTAGATGGAGGTGCCTCCGCGGCCCGTGCCCGTGGGGTCGCCGCCCTGGATCATGAAGTCCCTGATGATCCGGTGGAACACCACGTTGTTGTAGTAGCCCCTCCTCGAGAGCTCCGCGAAGTTCCTGCAGGTGTTGGGGGCATGTTTCCAGTACAGTTCCACGGTGATTTCACCCATGCTGGAATATATATTATAAATTACTATATTAATTATACATATATTTACTCTATCGAGCGTGCACTGTACTTAAAGTATTGCCGATTTAACTCACCTCGTCTCTAAAGTCACGAAATGCGGCTGCCACGCCTTGTCGGGAATGCCCCCAGCATTGTTAGGATCGGTTAAGGACAGCATTTTCTCTTATAGTTTAAATTTAATTCACGAATTTGCTGCGAAAATTGAGGAGTTGTTTACAAGTTGCAAGTGTGTGACCAGCTTAACCTCGCAACACTAAATTATCTAAGTTTCACACCAATAAGGCTGACTTCCGTGATATATCGTTGGTATTTACTACAGCTACCGTTTTGTATTTTTAGTATATTTCATGCTCCACAATAGTATTTAAAGTAGCGGGGACTTACTCCACAATTAGCGGGGACTCACTTCTGCTTCTGGAGTGGCCTTTTGGCAGAGATGGGAAAACATCGATATCAGCTCATATTTTCGTTGCACTATCGTGTAATACAAAGTATCGATTCATATATATTTAACCAAATATCGATTCACACTAATGGGTTGGTATTGTTTAATTTAATTTCCTAGCTTTACGATACAATAAATTTAGTGATAGGTACTAAATATACCCGGATAAACCGCTTGAGATAGGGACAGCTCAAGTTGACTGTGAAATTTCGATAGTATTTGACACTTTTATATGCAGCATCATTGACGTAGACGGTAGATGTTGCCCAGTGTGAATATACTATAAGTGTGTTCGAGGTGATGCTATCGTACCTCGTCAAGCGAACGAAAAACGAAAACAATCGCCACTCTGTGTTTTTTAGCTGCTCCAAGAGGACGCGATTTTCCCTCGGTCGGCGTTTTTCGGCTACAAAAAAACAGTATAGCGGATAGAAATACGGAGTTTGCAATGCGGAAAGCTCAATAAAAAGCAATCGCTTATTGAAAAAAATTAAATCGTCCCTAGTTCCATTTCAAAATTCGACGACACGAAAAATAACGCGGACGGAGAACGCAGCGCAAAGCGAAATTCGTCGGGCTCGCGAGAAAAAAGAACAAAAAGCCAGTGTCTGCGTGTGCGTGAGTGAAAAAACGCGAAAAGAAAGAAAAGGAGCCATGGCGAGTGTTTTTTTATAACCAAATTTCCACAACACTTTCCACATAATCGTAAATGAAGCAAAAAAGTAAGCAAAATATGGAAACCAATTTCCCCGAGTGTTTATGTGTATGTGTGTGTGTGTGTAAGAGAGAGCGTGTTTTTTTTGTTTGCTGTGTTGTGTTTGCTGAGAGAGAAGAAGCAGAGCGAAAATGAATTGAAAACGATGAACTCAAAATAGCTCACGGAAGAGAGAAAGGGAGAGGACGAGTGAAGAAAAGAGCGAAACAATATTCAATTGCATTTTTAACTTGTTTTCGCCATGGAATTGTTGCTGTACTTGTGTTGTTTGCTTGCCTTTTGTTAGCAACAATTTATTTACAGGGTGCTGTGTGTTTAATTTTGCTGTTTCTCTGCTGGGGGCGGTTTCCATATGGGAAGTCTCGATTTTTCCACTGTTTTTCTTACATGCGGGTACTGTGCGGGTCTTCCCCTCTCTTTTCCTCTCCCCTTTCCCTTGTTTAATTAAGGACGTTTTGTGAGAAAATTCCCTTACCAAAAAGGGACCCTGAAAATTCAAAATTTACGATCTAACATTTTGTCCATAAATTATTGTATCTAAGGAATTCGAATTTAATTGAACTTGTGTTTTAACAAACAATTAGACATTTATTATAAGGTCTATGACCTATTGGAATTTCTTTTTTAGCTAAACAAATTTTTTTTACTTCAATTGTAATAACTATGATTTCAATTTTCTCTAAAACCCCTATAATAAATTTGAATTAACTAAAGGAAGTAAGGGACTAATTTATTTGTTTTAACAGAAATTATTTATACTCTGCAGGAAAAGATTTGGTAATTAATGTTATTGTCAATATACTTTGACAAAAATGAAAGATTAATATTTTTAAATTAAAAAAATTAAACATTTCATGTTTGCAGTTCTTGATATGCCAGGCAAGGATACTACGTAATTTAACATAAGGCAATAAAATTAGTCCATCTGAGGTTTAGGAATTCTCACACTTTTGGGACTTTTATTCCCTTGGGTAATTTTTATTGTTTGGGATTTATTGCCAACTCTTTTACTTTGGCGTTTATCAAAACAAAAGAAGCACAACAACTGGCAAGCGGAAATGGAAATCACTCCTTGTTTTCGTTTTTCTCTCTCTATCCCTCTGCTTTATTCTCCTGTGAGGCTGCGTCATCATAATCATCATATGAACGGCGTTTGTCGATTCATCAAAGAAACCGCCGCCGGCTGCCCTCTCTCTCTTTCTCCTTCCTCTACCAGCGTGACAGAGGGACAGCAGGAGAGAGCGTGCTCATTCATGCACAGGATACCGAAAGAGAGAGATACAGAGAGTCCCCACTCTCTTTCTATTCTCCCCATGGGTTTTTTATGTAAATCATTTAAAGGGAAATTGTTGCACAACTTTAACGAGGCGTGAGTGGGTGGTAGGTGTTGGGTCACCCGCTTGTGGGTTTTCCCGGCTTAGCCCCGCCCCCACTCCCCTTCGCTCACTTTGGCAGCTGTCAATTAGAGCTTACAAGAAAAAAAAACTCGAAGCTTCCATATGTTAGGTGTCCCTCCCACGATTCTCCACCTCCAACAGCTGTTGGAAAGTTTACCAAATGAGATTACGAGCGGGGAAAGCAGAGGACTGGGGTCCGTAGCTTTATTGGCCTGTAATTGATGCCCAGGCTGCCAACCGACCATATTGCTGATTGAATTGTGGCGTTGTCGCTGCGGGGTAAAGAGGAATCGAGTGGACTGCCTAGAAGATTGCTGACGTTGCCACCAAACCCGTTTAAGTTGCAACTAATCGAGTCTTCTGTGGGGGAACCCCTGGGGACACAGACTCGTAAAACTCGCATCCTGCAGTGCCAAACAAAACCCGAAAATCCATTTAGAATATTTCAGATTTTTTCCTTAGCCCTGAAGGCATTACTCCACTACATAATATCTTAATTAGCCAAAGTGGGTCCGTTAATGTAATACGAAAAATATACAAAACTAAAAGTAGAACCTTATTTAAATTATGGAACCTGTGGTTTAATTTCATAAGAATGCAGGACATTTCATCAGAAACATGCAACTTTCCTTTCATTTATCATTCAAGACGGATTATGAGGTTTTCAGCGAATTGTTGACTTTTCACCATGCCCGAGAACAACCCAACCAAGTTTGATCAAATTATTCAGTTATGCATGCTGGAAACCATATGTTTTCTTTTGATCCTTCTTGGGAAAACCAAAGTTTTCCTCAGACACCTTGTTACCCTTTCTCCCATTAAACTATAACGGTTTCTTGGCTAAGCTAAAAATATGTTTCACCCACACGACCATCTCCATCTTGTACTATGTGTATGTAATTAAGTCTGCCCACGACGCAAGTTTTGCTTCTGCGTCTCTTTTTACCCGGCGGCCACCCAACAAAACCACTTTGCCCCATTCACACATCGCAACCCCTTTTCTAGACCCACCGCAAAAAAAACTATTTCGCAAGGTGCCCCTTTGCCGGTTCTTGGTCTCCCTTTGTCGCTTTCTCCTTCCCTTTCATCTTGCTTCTGCTGCCGACGCAAATCCTTACGTGTCAAATGGAGCCCCTCACACTTTTGGGTGGCGCCCGAGGTGGGACATCCACGTAAGCAATCAAGTCGTAAATGAGCTTACAGAACACGGAATACCCCTTACTGGGATTCGTAAACAGTGTCATTAATTTGCTCTTAAAAATGTTTTGTAGATAAATTATATAGCTAATATTTATTAGAATATGGTAATTGTCTTAAGGGGGTCTTCTAGTCTAGAAATTTGAGAAAATCGAAAATTTTTTTTTCATAATTCGATAGTTTTTATATTCACAAATATCTCCCTAAAAGGATTTTTCAAAACTCAAATTATTTTCAAAGTTATAGCCGTTTTAGTGACGTGGCAACTAGACCGGTTGAGCGAAAGACTGGAACTTTAAACGCGTTTTTCTCGAAACTCCTTTTTTTTATGCGGTCGCCACTATATCTCAAGTTCTAATCAGTCGATTTACCTAAAATTTGGCATGAATATTCTTTAAATATATCTCTATCGCCGGAACTAAAAATTTCGCCGGAAATTTTAAATTTATAATATTTTTAAAAATTCAACAAAATGGAAAAATTAGTGAAAAAAATCGACTGTTTTCTTTGAGTTGCCGCCATTTCATGAAAAAAATATTTTTTTTTTTTGGTGCTTCATGCCATAGCGACATTTGTACTCATTAAGAATCTATCATTGTTTTAATTTTGAGACAACGACAAGCATAGAAATCATGGCGACGCATACACGGCTTCTTTTTTTCCCCCTCTTCTTCAAGAAGGAATAACTCAATGAAAACTAATTTTTTTTTAAAATTTATTTTATGTATTCCTTAAATTTAAAAACAAAAAAATAAAAAAATAATGCTTTTTTTATTAATGTTAAAAAAGAATTCGAGCCTCTAGACTAGAAGACCCCCTTAAAGCATAAACTGAAATAGTACATTTTTTGACAACTTAAAAGTAGCAGTTAAAGAAAGAAAAATAAAAAAAATATATATAGTGGGTAAATGATTTATAAGGCCCAAATTTAGGGGGCGAAAAATGAAGTGTTAGTAACTGTAAATCAAAGGGTATTGCCAAATTTGAAAGCCCATGTCAAAAGTAATTAGCATACCATAATCAGAGGTAAAGTAAGCCGAAATGAAACGCCAGGACACTCCACGGTAGCAAATGAAGGAAAAACCAAAACAACAACCACAGCGAAAGAAAGCAAAAATAATTTCGCGATTCGTCCCCCGGGCAGAGCTTAAAAAAAGTCGCAGATTGAGCGGGGCGAACAGGAGAAAGGGGCGGAAGGGGCGGCAGAGGCGGCAGGAAGAGGGAAGGTGAGAAGACGGGGCTTGCGCAGGCGCCTGGAGAATAGGAGAAAGAGCAAGAGGCCAGCTCTCTTTTTTCGGCTCTGTGGCAACAAAGTTTCGGTGCCTGTGCCTCCGGTCCAAAAGTGCCTCAGTTCTTCGGTTCAGAGTCTCCACAAACGGCTTCGCGAGCGGACGTTGCAGCCATAGAAGATATAGCTACATACATAGCTGTTGAGGAAGTACCAGCTCAGCTACAGAAAGCCAAGATATATATGTATACACATGTACATGTGTGTGGAAGCTGCTGCGAAAAAAGGTGCAAAACAAATTAAAATGCATAAATAAACACCAGACTCGCTGGCAGGTGTTTGTGAACGTGTATAATATCCGAGTATCCGAGTATCGGTGAGGTGTGTGCTGGTGCGGTCAAATATTACGAAAGAAAACCTTTTATGTTTTGCAATTTTCCTGCAAACAAATCAACAAACATAAATATTAATTTTGGTTACACCCAAAATGAGATGATGGACAATAACAACAGCAACAAGGAGAAGAAGCTGGGAAACTTGTTTTATGCCCGGTTTCGGATTTCGCCCTCTTCTTCTTCGTTGTTGACGTCTGCGCCGGGCGTCGCTGCCGACGTCGACGTCGCTAACTAAACGCCGTCGTATTAGTCGTTAGTTAGTCAGTGTGTATAAATTGTTTGCTGCCATACCGGGTACTTTGAAAGGGTATTATATTTCCAGAAGGTTTTCATATCAAAGATTTGCACGATTTTTATCGTCTTCACTTTGCAAGTTGACTTGATTTATTATGGCTAATTGTTAAACTTTCACTGTCTTATTGGACTCACACATAAATATAAGTATTGTCTATCGATCTTTCAATATTCATAACGATAGCGTACAAAAAAGCTAATAACTTAGAGTATTTTTAAGGCTTGTTGGATTTGTTATTGATATCCTCCACTCGTTAAACTTTTAAAGTCTTTTGGGGTGTGCAGATATATTTTACTATTTTTTATCGATCATTCAACATTTACACCGATAGGGTTACAGAAAAAAAAAGAAGAAATTCCATAAATTTGAATTTTTCTTATAACTAACTAACTACCTACGTGGTTGAACTACTTACTCTTTGGTATATTTAAAAATGATTGTTTAGTAAATATTTAGTTGGTATATTCAGGAACCATTGCTTTTGCCTTTTTGTACGCGGCAGCTGCAAAACAAAAATCCATTCAATAACACTCACTGTCCCTTTTCCACTCATTGGACAATCCATTAATAACTTTGAAACCGGCTTTTTGTTTGCTTTAATTTGTTGTTGTTGTTGATGGTAATTTTAGGTTCTCTTCGTTCTTCTTTTTTATGTTTTGGGTTTGGTAACGAAAGTTGCCAATTAGGTTTAATTTTGAGGGCTTCGTAGAATTTTTTAGCAAGTGCGTAGAAAAAGGTTTTGATTGTGTGTATTCGTGTGAGCCAAAAATGCGCGAGTGTGAGTGTTGTTTGTGTACTGGGCCAAGTGCGTAATCTCCAAAATGTTTTTTATTGTTGTTTCGCTTTTTTGTGGTTCTCATTTTTCGACACCCAAAATTTGTTTGTCTTTTTTTATAGTTCCCCTTTTTCACACCGTTTTTTGCGTAGCTTAAATGCTGAATCAAGTGGAAAAAACATAACAATTACAGTGAAGTCTGGAAAAGAAAAATGTCTGTTTTTTAAGTAAATAAACCACTAAAAATTTTCACCTCTAAGCTAATCGTGACTAAAATATTTCGAAATAATTATTTTAGTTTTCTCGAAATTCCATTATACTGTCATTTGCTGTTTATAATATAATACTATTTGTGTGCGTTTCTTGGACAAAATTCTTGAGTGGAAATTTTCCAAACTAATTAAAATAAAATGTATAAATGTGGGGCAGGTGTGCGAATGTGTGTATGATATTTTTGGTACGTGATTTATGGCGAATTTTATTAAAATTCTTTTTATTTCCGTACTAATAGCTATTCCTTATGCTCTATTCTTGCAGATTCTCTTTTAATTTGGAATAATTGTATTTGTCTTGAAATAATATACTGTAAATATATCTTCTTCGTATAAAATTTTACTCAAAAAAAAGTATTAAACTATTGAAATTAAATTAAATTTCAAAGGGGTCGCTTGAAATTCCCTAGTTATTCGCCACGTTTTGTCGGGAGTTGAAAGAAAAGGCGAAAGAAGCCCAAATGCCAGCCAACTGAGTGCAAGGGAGACAGCCGATTACGCCAGAGCGGGATAGCATGCGCCAATGAAAACGTCCCACCATCCAAAAGCGTCCGATTTCGTTGACTACGCCGTTGCCGGGGGCGGGGGATCCGGATTCTGTCCGGGATTAGGAGCGGGACTATCAGTCAGGGCGACGTCCTTCTACGGCGATCTAGCGGTAACGGCAACTGCGGACGGGACGCGTCACCAGCAGCAGCAACAACAGCAACAACAACACCCGCTGCGGCATCCAGCAACATCGACCTCGTCGGCAGCAGCAACATCATCATCATCTGCAGCAGCAACCAGCAAGCGAAAACGTCAGACAGGTGAGTTCTAAATAAATATAAGTTTATACTTATATAGGTTTAAAATCAGGGGTTCCCAAAGCACATTTCGAGTAGCACTACGATAGCTTTCAGTATGAGGTGGATCGAGACCAATAAAAACAAGAAATTAAGAATGTATTCAATACTTCTTAAATAAAAGGTAATCCTAATAGGATACTGTATAACTTTTAGATATTCTTAATATTAATTTAGGGGTATAATCAGTGCATGTAACATATAAAATCTACAAAAATATAAAGGGCTTAGCTTGGAAACAGAAATGGAAAAGATTTCAGTGCTAAATTGTTTCTGATTTCTGTGCTCAAGGTAAATAGTTGATAAGATTCATGATGACCTTGTTGCTTATATAGAGAATCGTTTGAATTAGCTTGAACCATAGGAACCAACTAAAAAGCTTAGGTTCTCAGTAAATTTTGTTTTTGGTTGAAACTTTAGTTCTGTCAATTTATTTTTTTGAATTTGCAAAAAAGAATGAATAAGGTGATAGTCGATATAATGAATTATCGAAGCTGTTTTTGGCTTTATCTAGTTATTTTTTCTGAAGACATAACGATGAATCAAGAGTTATTTGTTTGCAATTTCAATTTCCTTCGCTTGATTGCACCTTCCCGTAGAGATAGCACTCATCGATTATTGTGACAATCGCTTGATTTGCTTGAGTTATCGTTATCACACACGCGCTGTGGGCAAATAAACTGTTGTTATTAATACTAGGCGCAATATTTATTATTATTGGTTGCCGTGCCATATTTCTGCCTCTCCTGGGCACTCTTATCGCCTGTTTCCCCCCATCGTCCCCCTTTTTCATTGTTGATTATCACAATAGACGCCATGGCAACTTTTTTTTTGGGCGAGAGAGAGAGGGAAGCGATAATTCACATGGTTTGTCGCAGTTTCTCTTTCTGTGTTTTTGTATTTTTGGGTTTGTGGACATTCCCAGACTTTGTTCTGTATGATTTTGTTGGATTTTTTGTATACTCTTTCACGCTATCTCCGATTACGTTTGCATGCTCGAACATGTCTGTCTTGGCGTCTGAAGAAATCCCCTCCCGAAATCCCTTTAAAATTTTGTGTTAATATTTTCATTGCCATCACTTTTAGCGTTTCGGGTTTGGCCTCCTCTTTTGCACGGCTGCCTTACTTTATTCGCATTTTCTCTTGGCTTTATGACTAGTATGAGTTATTGTTTGATATCTCACAAGGTCCCTTCGTATTTCCCCGGCTCATTGAAAATTCCAGCGGACGCAATTACCACCCCAATTGTCTCCCAATCTAAGTTTTCGCGTTTGAGCTTCTCCGCCTCTTTATTTGACTGTATTTTCTGTATTTCTTTCGCTTTATTTATTTTTCGCTTATTGCGACTTATAAAAATATTTCTCTTGTTGTTTGCGCCTTCCATTCGACGCTCGTTGTCGTCATCAGAGTGTGGCTGGAATATTTTGTATTATTTTCTTTTTTGTTGGTAATTTTTCCCCCTTTTTTTTGTGTTTTTCCCTTCTGCAAATTGTTTATCTGGTTTTGTTTGGCTTGCCACTAATCGAGATAATGCTTTTATATATTTTTTCACATTTTTTTCGGAGTGTTTTTGATAAGGTTCTTTTATTTCTGGTTTGTTGATCCGAATACTTATGAAACATACAACCATTCATGGCTCAGATATAATATATAGCACGTAGATACATTTTATATATAGCCAACAAATTGACGGGTTTTGGGATATCGAAATGTTGATTTTGTGAATTGCGCTGGATTTTCCGGCAGTAATTGGTTTGTTTTTATTTCCACAATCTTATCGACTTTTTGTTTTCGTCTGGAAAAGTTTGAAATTAATTTCAGACAGAGATAGTGGAGAGAACAGCATGTTGTTGGATTAATTAAATTTAAGAGGGCTTTGTGGTAATTATTATATTTAATTTGAGTAAAACGATTGATATTTGGAAATGTATTTTTTAAGCATTTAACTATATCTTACCATTCTGTTTAAATGGTAGAAGGTTAAATAATCAAAATCGATATGAATTCAATTTGGAATCAGATATGGGATTTTATTATTGTGGTATCAAGCTGTATTTGTAGCTTGCTTATAAAGTAGGTGAAAATCTCCGTGATATCGAGTTCAGCTTTCTTCTCCCAGCCTTCATTTCCCACCTCGTGTCTTTTCATTCTGCCCTAATTAACTTCTCGCTCAGCATTCTCGACTTCCTCTGCGGTTTTCCCGCATGTCTCTACTTTTGTTTGTCTGTCTTTCCGTCGATCAGCGGCATCAAAAAGTATCCGCTTGTTTTGTTGCCTTTTCATTATTGCTGTGCGGTGTACTTTCGCCCATAAATCTCCGACGGTTGCTAATAATTTGAGCTGACTGTGGGCCCTAACCCCGCAGAAGATTTTCACAGCCCCTTTCCTCCTGGGGATCACGTTGTATGGGTGAAAGGAGCTTAGGCAGCTGGGCACCCAGCCCCGTCCCCAGGTCTCCTATTTCCACTCGTCTCCCCTTTCTCCGTCTGCCTGTGTAGGCGTTCTTCTTTTCGCAATTTCACCCGGCTCACACAGATACACACCACCACTTGCCCCTAACCGGTGCGCCTTCTCTGCTCCCCTTTGCTCGCCCGCCTTCGAAAGTTAGTGGGTATCTCTGTTTTCCCCACAAGGATGTTATAAAAACATTTTTTAAATCTTTAGGTATAAAATCTGCAAAGATTTAAAAAATGTTTAGGTTTAGAATCCCCAAAGATTTAAAAAATGTTTAGGTTTAGAATCCCCGAAGATTTAAAAAATGTTAGGTATAGAATCCCCAAAGATTTAAAAAATGTTTAGGTATAGAATTCTATATCCTAATGAAATTAAAAATACTTTTTCTAAAATTCTTGTGGAGAATAATTAGAATACGAACTCTTTAAAAAGAACCAAAACCAATGATTAAATGCAAGTTGACTTCAACAACGATGCAAATTCGTAAAATACTGCGCACCGACAATCAGTTTTGTGAGCATAATCTCAAACCTATATGTGGAATGGGTCATATCAAATTGTTGATATGATAATAATGAATGATGAATAATTTTTTTAAATTTAGCTTTTCATTAAACGAGTTTGATTCGAAGTTAACCCCCCAAAAGGGTATTTAAAGCGGTTGGTTTTTTTTGTCTTGCTGCCGTTCCCATTTTTTCTGCTTCTTCTTTTGGGCATCTTTAATAACGAGAATCTTTCACTTTGTCTCCTTTTCTCTGCTCTGCTGCGCTGCCTGCAGCCTGATACCGTTACACTAGAGATGACAGCGTGAGTGTGATAAAGATAGCGGCTGATAATTAAGTACATGCAGGTTATCACAAGAGAACAATATATGGAAAGCCAGAGGCACCCGGTTCTTAAAGCCACCTGAGAACTATCTCCGAACAGGTTCCACAGTCTGGGTTCCCAAACAAACAGGTTCCACATGTCGAACGTGTCCAAAATGAATTCCCGAAGGGAAATTGGTACACGCGTGCATCTCTCATTAAAACTCAGACGGCTCCCTATTCCCCCTTTCCTCTCCCCCTTTCTTCTGGCACCCCTTTCTTCTCTAGCCACTTGGTTATGTGATACGTTAATAGCCTCTGTGTGTGCGTGCTGTTCGGTGTTCCCTTTTGCGACACACAAAATAAAGCCAAAAGCAGCGAAGGTTTCTTCAAAGACATTCTACCAAGCCCACGCACCAGAAGCCCCAATGAGCGACAGAGATGGGTAGAGGCTGTAAAGGGGGGAGCGAGATGGGGATGTGGCGGAACGAGAGGGCAAAGCTCACAATGTCAATCAGTCAGTCCCTTTCTGACACGTTCTACGTTGTTCTGCCGTCAAGCGAAGTTCAATTTAGTTTAAAATGAATTTTTCATGTTTTTCCCAGTTTCTTGTTATTTACTTTTCAATTCCATTAGGGCTCAAACATTTTTAACTTTTGGTGGCTCTTGCTGCAATTGCCACACTTTTACAGATAATTTCACTTCTAAAATATATTTTTCCAATATTTTAATAATATCTATTCAACAGTTGCTAAAATATAAATAAATAAAGACTTTATAAATTATATTATAATTTGATATTCTTTTGGATTTATTTGTTAACCAACAAATTGATCGTATTATCTTATGTATGGGTACCTACATCTTGGGATTTACCCGAAAGCAGACAGATCTTTTGCTAACAATGGTTTTTATGTTATTCAAAAACAAACGATACAACTTTTAAAGCCAAAATAAATCTTGAACCATTTCAAATGATTTCTGTTGTTGATGATTTAGTTTTTATTTTTGGCCCAACCGAAAATATATTTGGCTTTCTGGTTGACATGTAAAGAAAAGACGAGAAGCAGATACAAAGAGACGAACGAGAAATGTAAATGAAATTTCCATGCAAGACATCACGTAGGCTCAAAGTGCACAGACAACGAAATGTCGAAAACAGAAAACGGGTAAACAAAATTCAGATTCCGATTTGGGTTCGGTTTTGGTTTCGGAATGGTTAAATGAGCCAACGACACACCGACCCTCTGCAAATTCATGAATATAGTCATGGCTCTGGAGTGAATATTTCATGGATTTAGGGGATCTTGACTGGCGATCGAAAGAGCGAGGGCCTCAAAAGCAATGTCAAAAATGAAATTGTTGTGTTATAACTCAAAACTCGAGAAGGTCGAACTGGGGTTGGGTGGGCACTTTAAGGGTCCGCCACTCAGGGAAACTCGTGAAAATGACAGCTGTCCGTGATGACTGTATCTGCCAGATACACAGATACTCAGCTCAAGTCGGCTCTGGCAAACATTTCCATTAACCAAAACGCAAGGCAGCAGTAAAAAGAGAGGGCAGATAGATAAAGTAGATAAAAACGGACGAGCAAAAAATTATCTTTATGTTGTGTATTTATTTTGCTTAGCTTTTCCCTCAATTATTTCTGACATGCCACCAAATTTGACTTCTGGTGTTGTTATACGTGGTGTATATATTTGC